AACCTAGGACTGACTCACACGCTCATTCAGAGGCTAAAATAGATCAAACACAAGAAACCGACGTGGCAGAGCTGCGTGATAGACTGACACCGACTCGGACACACTGATGGTGAAGCGAGAAGCATCACATCTCCAATAGCCTGATGGCAGATGCTGACAGAAGACGTTTGAATGCCTATTTAATTTGGTATATGTTTTAAATGAGCGATGCCACGTTAGCTCGTCTGTAGGCGTTAGATCTGTGTTTGCATGTACCTGGTGGGATTTACATGTCATTGTGTTAAGCAGAATTACTGCTGAAATTCACAATCTCATTGCTCAGAGGTCACTTGTGCCGTTGTCATCCTTTTAAAGTGCACTCCTCAGTTTGTTGTAGCCACACCTGGAGACTCTTGAAGCATTTATGGCAGCAGTTAATTGGTGTGAGGGCCACTGGCTAAACAGGTGATGATTCATCAGTAGATTCATACACTGCAGCATTAGCAGCGTCAGAAATGAAATGAAATGACAACGTTTAAAGCAGCAAGTCATATGGGCGCATCGTCCTGACTACATGCTGTGATTGCCCTCTAAGTAGTCACATCTGGCTTGTGATCAGGTGAAAAATATTTGTGACAATGCATCACTGTGAAGCATCTTGTGCCTGTAATTGTAATGCAAATTAAGCATAGGACGTAAATATTAAGATACACACTCGTAGCTCAGCAGTGCCCCCCCCCACAGCCTTTATTTATTTCTTTGGGTGCCTTTAGGAAATTAAAAAAAAAGCCAGACCTAGGATTTTATACTTCTTGTAAATAAGAGTTTATGCCTCTTCATGACTTTTGATTCCATATTTTACTTGGTGCTTTTGTTACTCACGATTAGTCAGCAACATTTTTAAGTTTTAATCGACTTAAACCTACAACGATGTCGTCTTTTTGAGTCTATCGCAATGTGGCTTTTTTTCTTTCAATTGTGTAGCTGCATTTTGTTTCTTTGTAATTTTCTGTGTCAATTTAGCTCTAATTTTCCATATAATGTCATCATATTGAGGAATACGGGCTCTAAATGATCCAATAACGTATTTCTTCCCCAATGTTTTTGGAGAATTACTACAATTACATATGTTTGCAGTGCAGTTGTTTTGTGTAGTCACAATTTGCTGCGACTTTTAAGACTCACTCCTGTAGCACTGCAGCATGTTGCTCTCTGAAACAAAGATTAACTGTAGGGGATCATACTACACCATTTTTTTCCTTTTGAACCACAACACGATGACAGCTTAAGTCCAGCATCATTTCTTTCTTTTCTAACGTCTCTCAGGCGTGGATGATTGTCAGAAAAGTCAGGACACTAAAAGTCAGCTGGGCTCTAGTTGAGTTTCTAAAGGTTTACCCAGACATCAGTGCTGCAGCAGTGAAGCTGCATGTAATTATGGCTGAAACTGTACAGATTATAAATGTTGAAAGAAAGTGCTAAAAGCTAGAAAAAATAGAGAAGTCAGTGTATGTTTTTTTTGTGCTGACAGTAATCAGTCAACTATCTGTGTTGAAAATTTCTCTCGAATTCAATTTTTTTCTTTGTCCAAGGTTTTATTTTTATTTTTTTTAATGTGCTTTTAAAGTTAATGTATGGCCTTATTTACTCCACTGACCCACACTAGGCAAATGTACAGCACTGCTTAAATGTTATGTTCATATTTGGTAGTAATGACCTCTTGTGCATGACAGTATAATGTGCATGTTACTTCACATGAAGCTCTGGTGAAAATGGTGTAGTTAAAGCTGTAATGTACATTGTGTTTTGTTATTCTTCCGTGTCCAAACAATAAAATACGAACACATTTTTTGACAGTAACCTAATGTCAGAAGTTATTATAATGCACTGCTAGCCTTTTTAAAATATGTAATCTCTATCAATCTCTATATTAAATACGCTAAAATGGTCACACACAACAAACATTTACCAAACCAGTGTTTTCCTTTTTTAAGCCATGGCACATATTTTACATTAGAAGAATCCAATGGCACCCCACTAAAAGAAATGTCACAAAAAGATAATGTTATGAAATCTTCATCATCATCTTCTCATTTCCATTTACTCACAATTCACTTATTCAGCGAGAAATCTGGGCCTGTTTAGTTGAACGCAATACTGATATACTTGCAGGAAATTAAAAAAGATAAACTTTTTAGTTTTCAATAGTTTCGGCTGCCACCTAGTGGAAGAGTATTTAACTGTTCTGCCTGCCACTGTTGCATAGACGAACAAAGATAAAGTATTTGCAGTAAATAAATAAAGGTTTTCTGACAAATTAAGAGCAATTGGATTTTTTTTTGGACACCTGATGATTTCTCAGGATACACTAGTGTGCCGTTGCACAGTGGTGGGGAATGATTACCTTAAACCACACGCGTCAAACTCAGGCCCAGGCAGGTGAGTTTATTTAATTTATTTAATTTATTTAATATTTTATGTAATTTTTATTTTATTTAAATTTTGGGCTAGCATACGTGCTTGCTATGTTAGCTGTTTAGGCATATGACATACACTGGAACATTTCAAACATTTAATTTAAAATATTAGACTGTACTTTAAAGTATTATATGCTCTATGCGGTTTGTTTAACACAGTTACATATTTGAAGTGTTACTAATGTAAATAGCAGGCCTCAGGGGTAAGCTTAGGTATAGTATCTGTGTTAAATTCTCCCAAGTATCAGAAGTCATTTCTGTAATGTGATACATAAATTATGTATCAAAAGCACCATTACCACCAATATCTTAAATTACAGTTTCATTCTTTAAGTCCCCACAGAAACAGCGCAACACTGATATTTCTGTGACATAATTTTAAATATTTGTATTTGGGGTTTTTTTCTGTATGTGAAGAACAAAAGAATCATAAATACCCTATAGATTTAAAGTTTGGAAAGCTCTGAAAAGTGTAAATACATAAATATGTTCAGTCTCATTTTAAGCAGTAAACCTTTCAGTGGTAAACAATATTTTTTAGAATTGACTTTATTGTAAGTTCATTGTGCACTAGTGAAATGAACATGACATGACCAATGAGGTTAAGGTGTTAAAGAGCTTTGATAAGGGTTCCCCTCCTTCCCCCTTTTTTGATCCAAATGTTGGACTTGCAAATAAATACTTCCATGTCACAATGCTACCCCCCCCACCTGACCTGAGCCTGCAGGAGTTAGGTCGTCCTGTTATCTGAACCTACAAAGTGCAGACCTCCTTGGCTTATAGTTATTCTTCTGTTATTCCAAATAAACAGAATAAAAAGAATAATGTTTGTTGTTGCAATTTTAAATTTGGTTATATAAGAAGCACATAGTTAAAGCTGAAGCCAGAAAGTATCCTTAGAATATATCCTATTATGCAAATCTATGGCAGAAACATTGTGTGTATAGGGTATGTATTTGTGCATAGATAACTGGTCATGATAAGATTAGAGTAGATTGAACGTTATTAATCTCACACTGGTCAAATTGGTGAAACTGGAGAAATTGTAAAATAAAGATAATTATGTAGTGTACAGTCTGCTTACACAAGAAATAACACCCAGGGTTTATGTTTATGTGGGACTATGTGTTTTAACCAAGACATACATATTAATCAGATGCATTATCTTGTTAAAAAGGTTTTTTTTTTTTAACAAGATAATGCATCTTATATAATATACACTACTTATATAATAACTTGATTTTAATGCAGTATAGCAGCGGTCCCCAACCTTTTTGTACCACAGACCAGTCGGCCGGTATCAGCCACTTCTGCAGACCGGTAATGCCACGCCATTGTTGAAGGATCATTTAAATTTTCAACATCTTTTAGGCTTTATTCTGTTAGAGTCTGAATGACTTATTGTTCTGAAACATTGCCAAATTATCTTTTAATAAAAAAGATAAAGGGATATGACTGGATTCTTTTTGAATGTGGTAGTAAAACTAAAGTACATTTTACCAAGTACCAAGTGACCTACGGACCGGCACCGGTTGGAGACCCCTGCAGTAGAGCATCAGTTCTGTAAAACTATGTTCTTGAAAATCCATACCCAAACATGTCTATGTGGTCAAAATTGTTTGATGACAAATAAGTTTCAAGGTCACACAAACCTGTAACCAGGTTTTTGTGACCTAAATGTGATGTTTAGCAATGTCAACCTGTTGTGCAGTTCAATGACCTGATAGGACAAAGTCATTCCACTATCCCAACCCATCTTTTGGTGAATGTGCATAAAGCCTTATCAAATCCTTGCATAATACACATAGAACACGTGTGTGGCTAAAGAGAAATAAGAAAGTTTGATTGGATGTGGTTGGGATGTTGGGGTGTGGCTTTTAAAAAAGTCTAATGACTTATAAATGGGGAACTCAAATACGTGTTTCACTTGGGGACGAACTGCTTCAAAACCATGATGAAGTTTAGGAGTGCCACCTATTTGGTGGTACTAGTAGTGCTATTGCTAGAAAATGTAGACAGTCAGGATTCACTATGGATGAAACCTTCAATACCAGGGGTAAAAGGTGGAACTCCTCAGAACCCACAGGTTGAAGAGCCAAACTATCCTTACGATCCTCAGAGGCCTCAAACTCAGCCGGTTCCACTGCCAATCTATCCTAGCAATCCTCAGAAGCCAGAGGTCCAACCGGTTCCACAGCCAAACTATCCTTACAACCCTTCAAAGCCACAAGTTCAGCCAGTCCCCGCCAGTCCCCCAGCCACAGTATCCCCAGAAGCCAGAGGTCCGACCGGTTCCCCAGCCACAGTATCCCCAGAAGCCAGAGGTCCGACCGGTCCCCCAGCCACAGTATCCCCAGAAGCCGGAGGTTCGACCGGTTCCACAGCCACAGTATCCCCAGAAGCCAGAGGTCCGACCGGTCCCCCAGCCACAGTATCCCCAGAAGCCGGAGGTTCGACCGGTTCCCCAACCATACTATCCTCAGAAGCCAGAGGTCCAACCGGTTCCACAGCCACAGTATCCCCAGAAGCCAGAGGTCCGACCGGCTCCCCAGCCACACTACCCCCAGAATCCATATCCCTACCAGCCTCAACGTCCAAATGTGAATCCAGGCCAAAAGCCAAACCCTTATCAGCGCCAGCCATTGATCCGACCAGCACCAAAGCCTCAATATCATCAAATATATAGTGATCAGACTCCTCAGGAACCAAGCGTTCCTCAACCGCAGCAACCACAGCAACCACAGCAACCGCAGCAACCGCAGAAACCACAGACACCTGTTGTGCCAAAGGATCCTAATTTTATGAGTTGCGAGGTGAACCCCAATTCAAGAATTCCATGTGGAGGTCCTGATATTTCCGCTGCTGGATGTGATGCTATAAACTGCTGCTTTGACGGTCAACAGTGCTACTTTGGAAAGGCAGGTGAGTTTTTGACAGGCTTTTGTTCTATGAAGGGCAAGAGAAATACCTTTAATGTGGGTGTTTTATGAGAATGTATCTTCAAACATTTATAATATCTCATGTGATGTTTTGACATGTGCCAACAGTGACCATCCAGTGTACAATGGACGCTCAGTTCATTGTTGTTGTGGCCAGAGATGCCACACTGCCCAACATTGACCTTGAGACAATCTCATTGTTGGGAAGTGGTCAAAAATGTACACATGTGGACTCTAATTCAGAATTTGCCATTTACCAGTTTCCAGTTACCGGTTGTGGCTCTGTTGTTATGGTGAGGTTTTTTATTTATTTTCTTACATGTATATTTGCTTTAGAAATTGTACAATTATTAGTGCCTGTGGATTCTTTCTCCAATTCAAGTATTTACTTGCGTTTTGTAGGAGGAGCCGGGTGTTATAGTCTACGAAAACAGAATGTTGTCCTCATTTGAGGTTTTATATGGGGACCGTGGAGAGATCACCAGGGACAGTCATTTTGAGTATGCGATAATTTTCTAAGTACTGGCTAAAAAAGGGCTCTGAAAACATATTTAATCTCTTTTTTGTGTTGGTTTGGTCAGACTGCTTTTCCAGTGTAGGTACACTGGCACTAGTGTGGAAACTCTGGTCATTGAAGTATTACCACTGCAAGATCCTCCTCTCCCCGCTGCTGCCATAGGGCCTATTAACGTACAACTGCGGTTGGCAAATGGCGAGTGCTTCGCAAAGGGTTGTGATGAACGTAAGTGAACGTCATTCTGGCTCTAATAATGTTACTGTCAGTTATTTTGAACTGCTGGCTGTCTCTTTCTTACAGTACAAGCAGCCTATACATCTTTCTACACGGAGGCAGACTATCCTGTCACCAAAGTCTTGAGAGACCCAGTGTATGTGGAAGTGCAGCTGCTTGGAAAGACAGATCCAAACCTGGTCCTATCTCTTGGCCATTGTTGGACAACCACAAGCCCCAATCCTCACAGCCTGCCCCAGTGGGACATTCTGATAGATGGGTAAATATGCCAGCAAAATAAATAAATGTAAAGGTAAAATGTTGCCAGCAAAATAAATAAATGTAAAGGTTAAATGTAAATTACAAAGTTTCCTTTTTTAAATGTCTGTTTATAAAAGATGAAAGAATAATAGTAATTTAAAACTTAAATCTTACCTTAACTCATTTGTTCTGCATTTAGGTGTCCATACAGGGATGATCGCTACAGATCTTCACTGGTTCCAGTTGGTCCATCTGCTGGTGTGGACATCCCAAGTCACCACAGGCGATTCATTTTCAAAATGTTCACCTTTGTGGACACCAGCACTCTGCAGCCAATGAAGGAGCTGGTAATGAATATTAAGGCATACAGGAAATTGCCATGAAAAATAGATTTTTCTATTTACCTTGCTAATAATGACATCCTTGTTTAGGTCTACATCCACTGCAGTACATTTGTGTGTACTCCTTCAGCTGGCCACTCCTGCGAGCCGTCATGCTTCAGAAGAAGTAAGAGACACATTTGTTAATTTCAGAATTCAGGTAGAATATACGTTTGAATCTTACGTTCTTCTTGTGTGTTTGTAGGGAGAGATGTCCAAGCTGCACAGCAACAGATGGAGTTTGACCGCAAGGTTGTAGTGTCTTCAGGACCTGTCAGCATGGTCTCCCCGGAAGAACCCACGGAAGACTGAGCATGACAGTTCATTATGACATACTGTGAGCCAAACTAATAAAAAAAGTGTAGTAAAGTAAAGCTGAAATCGACCAACAAAGTCCTGCAGTCAATGGGTTTTAAAGTATAGTTTGGTTGTGCTGTAAATACCTACTTTGTGATTCATATGCTTTTTAATTGTCCCTGCTCCAAAAACAATGAACCAACATAGCTTGAATTGTTGTTTACACCAACAAATATCAAATATAGTTTTCTTGATGTAAGCTCTCTATTCATTTTGCCAAAAAGATATGCTGCTAAAACATAAAATAGGTCAGCACTTACACAAGACTGTTCAGTAAAATGGTCAATTAAATTTAAATTTTAAAAGTGCCTGAATAATACATGTTTGTTTTAACTGTCACAAGTGTCACTAGGTTTCATGAAATTATCTTACAGGTAGAGTTGAGGTACTATCACAGGTTGTGTGCACATTGCCAAGCCATACAGAAAGTCCAGCTACAGTGAATATGCATGGAGACATGCAAAACCAGCTACAGTGAATATGCATGGAGACAAGCTGAGAAGATGGAAAGAATATTTTTAAGGGGACTTTTAAAGTGAGTAAGGAGGAAGTGAGGGCAGCTTTAAGGAGGATGAACTGTGAAAAGGCTGTTGGTCAAGACGGCATACCTCTGGAGGTATGGAGATGTTTAGGAAATAGTGCACAACCCTGGAGAATGAGAGGATGCCTTATGAACGGAGAAAGAGCGTACCGGTCCACTGGTAGTGAGACCTGCTATGACATATGGTTCAGAAGCAGTAGCTCTGTCTAGTAGTCAGAGGCTGAACGTGAGATGGCACAGATCAAGATGCTGATATTTTAACTGGGAGTGACCAGGACTGACATGGTTAGAAAATGAACTGATCACACGACGGTCATATTGTGGACTTTGGCGCCCCCTAAAGGGAACAGTCGGAAGAAGAAGGATATATGCCGTATATCACCTTTATTTTCTTGTGATGCTATACAGATTCATACTGCCTGTTCTTCAGAAACACCTACAACCTTGGCTACAATACAGTCTAAGTCTCACCATAGTAAGAGAAGGATGTTTTTGCAATGCATTATTGTAAAATTGAAATATAAGCTTTTGCATCATTTCTGTATATTATGTTATGCTATATACTTCAATATACTACTTCCAGTTAGTTTGCAGCCTATTCAGCTTAACAGGTATAGCTTTAATAATGTTTGATAATTATAACCAGTGTCTTAAAATCCAGCTTTAGATTCATACCGTTTGGTTCGATCAGATAAACAGAGATAAACTATTTAAAAGAGAATAGGCAAGTACGGTACTGTGTGAACACTCATTCAGATATCCAGCCACAAGCAATCTGTTAGACGTTAGAGTCAAAAGTACAAAAATTGTGACTAAAAAACTTTTGAATTTTGAGTGAGCTTACCATGCAAACATTTACAGCTTCACCGTACCAGTAGCACTTGGGTGTTTGTTAGCTGCTGGTAAATACTGTCAGCAAACACCTGATGTCAGTTATAGTTGATTACTGATTGTCTCGCAAGTCACATTTAAGTGCAGTCTGGGTTGCTCTCTGTGCTTTAGTGAATTAAAGCAAAAGGTTTAACTGTTGGAAAATACCATTGTGGCTCATGTTAAAAATGATGCATGGGCATTTGAATCAGAGACTTAGGATTTACATTACATACATTTTCACGAACACAAAAAGTCAGGCAGTCTTCCTGAATTTGTGCCTTGTGAAACGATGCATCATTGTAATAACATGAGATGTCTGTCAAGCATATAAGAGCATCATACATATTACATTCCCCAGAACATGCAAGATCACACGACCCAGGTGTGGATTCATCCTCCTGCTTTTCCTCTCAGTCAGACTTGTCCTTCTTTTTCCCTCCACCTATGGGAACTTTGCTGACCACTGCAGAGCCAACAGACGTCACTCCTCCGGCTACAGCATACACCCCTCCTTTGACCAGCCCCACTCCCATGGCAGGGACGGCAGCTACAGTGCTGATGGTGGTTTTTGTGAGGTCCAGACTCTTTCCTCCTATCCAGGTTACACCACCCACTGTTGCTCCTAATGCTCCCTTTGTGGCTCCGTACAAGCCCCCCGCCAATCGGCCCAACATGCCCGGCGGTGACTGAGGGTGATCCTTGTTATTATCTGAAAAAAAGTTCATGCTTAAAATCCAGTGAATTTTTTTTTGTATTTAACATTTAGGAGAATTTGATGGCGGAGATAAACATTTTATATAAACATTTTTCTTCCGTATAAACAACTGTTATCTTTGGTGAAGGGGATGACATTTTTGAAAAATTCAATAGTGGAAAATACTCACATTTTAAAAAGATTAAAGAAGCCAAAATCTAAATCTAATCAACACATCCATAATTAAATAACAAAAACATAAAAATATATAATTATTTTTAACTTCAATATAACTTCAACATTTCTATATTCTCATTTGGTTTAACATAGTAACTGACAAATAATCAGGATTTATATTTTGAAAGACAAAAGTAAAATGTTAAGAATACAAGGAATTTACTTAAAAGTAAAACAATTAGACCTTGGTGGTGATTGAAATAATAAGACTTAAATCTGAGAGTGTGTGTGATGCAAAACACTCTATTGATAAAATGTACATGTTATTCACATGGCAAAAAGTACTGATAGTGATAGTTTGAGACAGAACCTACCTGTAGCTACTGGCTCATTGTTGAGGTATGCAGGTGCGTCCTCAGGCACCTGCTCTGCCTGACTCATCTCTCTAAGAAGTAAACATAATTATTAATGTCAGGGTTCTGCGGGAAAGGACAACTAACTAGTGGCGTTACCACTAATAGATAGACAAAAAGTTACCTGTAACTTGTTACCTGTATTTTCAATACTTACCTCTGACATAGCCATGCGTAATACTAACTCCTAACTAAACTAAACCCCTCTTAAACAACGTCCCCACAAAAATACATTTACTTGGATCCCACATGGACAGCTACTGTATATCCAGACCACATCCAAGACACACACAAAGGTTTATCAAAAAAGCTCCCGTCCATCTATCGAATCATCTTTCAAGTGTTTATTTCTCAGCATTTTGTGCTACATTCATTGTATGAAAAGTGCTAAAGTAAAGTTAAAGTTAACTGTTGTGAAAAATAAGTATATATAATAGTATAATAAGTATAATAATTCCAATATTGATTTTTTTTCCCCACAATATTCTAATTTTCTGAAACAGAGTTTTGGGTTTTCATTATCTGTATTCCATGATCATCACAATTACAATAGATAAAATATATCACTCTGAAATTATTGACAATATTCATTTTATTTTAGCTGTGCCTGTATGATGGTGCTGGATTAAAACCTGATACAAATCTTCAATAAAATAAGTTAATTTTCACTCTTAGTTTAGTTTTGGTAAAATCATAAACATTTCGTCTGACATCAAAATGTTTTATATTTAATGTTTGAATTAAATAAAATGATACACAGCTCAATGCTTGACAAAGATGTACTAAATTGTCAAAGCTGTTTGAGACACTTCAAAGATCTGTCTGAGCAATACTTTCTTTGTAAAGACATTAGCAAAACAATTTTAAACAAATTAAGTATCTACTCAACGCCAAAAAGCTTTAGCGATACAAGGTAAATAAAACATTGCATTTATATAGTAGCATAGCATTTGCTTGGCTAATATGTGTCACAAGTTGGTACGTTTGTACCAGTGTATCTATTGGAAAGCAGTACATCCTTAAATTATTCGAATGTCAGCCATTTAACTGTACTGGTATGGAGCTATTCCTACAAATTAACTTGAAACTTCACCTAACAAGTTTTGTTTTCTCTGAATTATTTTTACGTGACTTTAAGTCATTTCAAGTTGCTGTGGGTGTTGCTGTGTGTTCACTGTTTGTACAACTGGTTTAAAGAGCAGGAACTCTCCTGAACATTTGCAGACTGATCCTTCCAATCATATCTATCTTATTCTCCCAGTGCAAAATAGTAGTTTGTTTTTGGTAACAACGTGTTATCGTTAAATTCAAACCTACGTTTTGTTTCCCTTCTATTCATATTTAGGAATTGGGCATTTGTTCAGATAAATAATTTGATACTCCCATGAACCAAACTGATAGTGTTGCTAAAGGCTTAGCGACAGTGGAGCTGACGTTCATCATTGAGTTAGTTTTCTTTTTTACTTAAGTTTACTTAAGCTAAAGTTTGCAAGGGGAGCAGTCCACAATGCTAGTTTGAAGTTTTGTGGTTCAGAAAAAACAAAGACAAAAAAAACAAGAAGTTGTAAATGCCTGAAGTGATGGGACACTTGAAGAGTCATCTACGTGTTGGTTTTGTTGCGTTATTTGCTATATAAACACAAGCTTCAGTCATGGACGTGCCTTTTGTGGTGTTCTGTGGCATAGAAACACACATGGAAACGCCACCTACCTAATACTATTTTTTTCCAAACCGACAGAGATATTATACATTTGTTGTGAAACTGGTATTTTTTAGTTTTGCAAAAGTCGTGTAGAAAAACTTTACAAAACAACAACCGCTTACCGTATTTCGTAAGAATAATCCTCTTCAACGAATGTGCAGTAGATACTGGAACACAGAAAAGTAGCGCAAACAGGGAGGCGTTTGTGTGTGCAGGCGCGGCCGCTGAAGGTGAAGCTGTGTTTGTCTGTGTTTTGGGAGTAGCTGTCAGTCTCCACCCAGGGAGTCACACAGAAGCACACTGTTATTGACTCACTCTATTAGGTTTGTTTTTTATGGGGCTGTTGGGGATATACACGAACACACACACACACACGATCTATACAAGTTATGCACACAAATATGTTTATAACTTGTTTAGCCACCGGATAATACTTCTGAGTGTCAACACTACCAACAAAAAACTCTCACACGGTCATCTTTTTCGGAGCGGAAGTGACGTGTGGTCCAGCGCGTTCTAGATCAAAGATCGTCTTTCTGAAAAAGAGCCATACCAAGTCACAACTTAAAGCATCGACAATATGCTCTATTTTTTTTCCTTAAATTATAACTTTGTAGTACATTTGGTTTTTTGTCTGGACATGTATGATTTTTTAGTCTCTTTTAGTCTCTTTTAGTCTCTTTAGTCAAAATATAAAAACCAGATTAATGCTATTTAAAATATGATGTATGTGTATTTATTTATTCCAGATGTCACAATTTTATCACAAGTAAGCATTTTTAAAGTTCTTTGTGTATTGTAGCTAATGTATAGAAAATAGTTTGAGGATAGACTAGATAGATAGTTCTTTTATTTAAATGCATTATCCCAAGGTTGCATGGTTAGAAGTGATTCTAATGAGTGTAATCCAACCAAATACACACTCTGTTGGACTCTTATTTACATTTTCTCAATTGTATATCTATGTGAGACTAATTCTCATGAGCACATACAAAAAGTGCACACAAATAAACACAAAGGGATTTATGTGACACATTCCATTGCATGTACTATGTTAATGTATACTGCTAAGTTCTAAACAGTCAAAATTGGAGCATTTTTGTAAATGTCTTGTATCAATTCATATAAACAATTTCACCAGCTCTGTACCTATCACCTCAGTAGTCCAGACCTGTTCTATGTGTATCTCTCTAAGCATCTATGCAGTATGTAAAACATAAAAGTGCTTTTGATAACGTTGTGACAACTCAAACCCTACAGATATATTAATTATGAAGTCTTAAAATAGATTGTTGATGTGGCTGAGTTATGACAAATAACCATGTAATATAATTATGTATATTCTTTGTCTTTTTCAATTTTAATATCGTTTTAAAATCGTCACCGGAAATACTGCACCACGTGACTCTAGTTCTCTTTCCCGCTCTCGTTCGTAATATTGTATACCCGTGAAGAACAGCAGAGTGACAGCTCAGTTCTGTCTGTTTAGAAGCTCCGCCAAATTAAAGTATCTTAAAGTGTTAGCGTACATTATTTCTGCCGTGATTGAAACATGTATTCACTAACAAATTCAGACAATTGCTGAAAAAGCCCGACCAGTGACACCAACGGAGTGAGCAGCCTGTCTTCATCTGTTACCAGCTAGGAGCTCGGCCCTCTGCAGACAGGTATGCTAATGTTATCCAGCTGCAGCCTTCACGGTCTAATAATTGTGATCGTAGTTTAATCTTTAGGAATTTAAGGAATTTAAAAATAGCTATATTCATTTCTATTCAAAATATCTAAAATATAATTTTTAACTTTTTGGAACGTCAAAATAATATTCCTCGTCCATTGCTGATTTTTGTAGCTTGCAACTACTATCCAGTAATGACATGCGTGGGTCAAAAGAAAAAAAGTAATTCACAGTGTATTATAAATATGTATGTGGGATTGTGGCAGTATGCATGCCAAGACAATTGCTTTATGTCTAATTGTTAGTAAGATTGTTAACGGTGTTAGTTGGTCATCACCAGTCGTGTAATGTGACGCGAGCTCCATCAGGTGGCAGTGTATCCCTGTTCTTGTAATCTCTAAACACTTCAAACTGGATAAACCTAATGTATCAGCTTAATAATTTCACCTGTTGCTTTTTTTCGCAGCAGTTAACCGTGTGGAAATACAAAATAATACAATATTGTGTGTAAATCTATATATGGGTTTTACACATGACATGGTCAACAGCAACTTGCTTAAATTGTTTTCAGTATTTTCTCCACCTTACGTATCGACAGTGCCCTGACTAAAACAGTAACAACTTAAAAAATGTCATTGTCTAAGAAAAAAAAATAGTTTTGAGAATATTTCATTTTATAATAGCTTGCCATGTTCTGGTTTGATTAAATGGGTGTAGTAGTATCGCACAACATGATTCAATATTTATATGGTCGTTACTTTAGCGCTAGTGATTAGCAATTAAAAAAAGAATTATACCTATAATTTATTTATTTAGATCTGGATCACCTATTGGGTACCCACTGTTGTATACAGTCAACAGTCTGACAAAGCTTCAAGCAGTTAACTGATCCAACACAAGGACATCTTGTTCCATTGTTGGTTGATTGGTAAAATTAGGGCCTTTTCTTTTTCTTTTTCTTTTTTTTTTTACAGAAGGAACAGAACATGTCATTAGTTGGTCATCAACTCACTGGCAAAATTAGCTCTTCTTCCCTTCTGTGTGTGCCAACAATATACTGACACAAATTAGGACTCATTGCTTTGTGTCAATTGTGAGGTGAACAAAGATGCTACACACAGTGAAATGTCATGAATGAGCAGGTGGGTTAGGAGAACACAGAGCTGCTGCCTCCTTAACTAAGTAATGACCAGGTTACCATGGTGAGCAGACTGACTGGTGTCATCTCAGTGTGTTTTTCTCTGTCAGGGTGGGGGTAGATATCAAAGCTGGTTTACTTTAAGTAAGGGGTTAAATGGTGTTTTAAAGAGGAAAAGACCCCTGTTAAGCTTATCCAAACCTCCTTCAAGGTGGGTCTAGTAGTCATGTCAGTGTTTCAAATTACACTGCTATATTAGAAATAATTCTAACAGTAAGCCAACTGTTGGCTGGATGTAAAAAGAATCATAAACGGTGGAGGTTACTGATAGTTATTTTCATCTACTTTATTAGCGGGAACCACACGGTATTTTTGCTTTGGTCCTTACAATTTTTGGAATCCAGTTATGGATCGGAGTAGATTATTTCAGTGGGTTGGATTCAGACTAAATTGCTGATCACTCTTGTGTAAAAGTTGATTTTTTTTTTTTTTAAACACAGCATTGTTACAGTTTCTCAAAATGTACTTATCCTAGTACACTACAGCCTTACTGGCTGTGACTGTGTGAGACCTTAGGCCTGGTGATTAATTGCTTGTACCCAGCAGTATCTTTTTGTCCAAGCAAAAGTAGACGCCCTCACCCACCCACTGCTTTGTTAGTTCTTTCTGATGTACATCAAGAATATTCAGCATCTGAATGAGAAGTCGTTTGGAGAATGGGAGATAATAAACCTTGCTCTCGCCTAACTCAGCAGAAATATCTGCCAGTGGACAACACCACAGTAGTGACGCAACACCATCCCTTCATTTCTTATGCAAAAGGATGTTTTTTCTTTGCGGCCTTTTTTTTTCTCACTGCACCTTCAGTGACCTCAGTCCCTTCACCCTCTGGAGGGCGATAAGGTGCTAAGGCAGAAAAGCTGGTCTTATCTGCCCACTACTCTCAGAAGCAGTGTTGTTCAATGGGTTGTAGCTCTTTTGTTTCCTTGTCCTCTGTTTCTGCCTGATCACTCGCACTCATTCCTCCAAGAAGTTGTTTGAAGCCATAGAATAGCCTTAGCTTGGACCCCCCCTGACCTTCCTCTTCCTCTACACCTCACTCTATACCAAATGCTGCCTGTGCATCGTTTATCTTCGCACCCCTTCTTCGTAGTTTAAGGGGCTGTTAGGGGGCATCCTCTTTTCTCTCCCAGCGAGGTTTGTTGACACACAGTCAATCTTTGGTTTGCTTTCACCTCTGCCATCCTTTTTTTTATACCTCCCACCCCCACCCCCCAAAAGCCACAGCCTGACCCTCTGCTTTCCCTGAACAGTAAAGCTGCCACAGCTGTGGACTATATTAGCATAGCTGCTGAGAAGCAGAGGGGGGGGGAGGGGGGGGGGGGTGCTGTTTAAATCGCAGTCATTACCTTTTGTTGAACCCCTGACAGTTTTAAGACATTTCAGCTTTTCCCTGTGTAAAAGATAAGATGCTGTGATTTCAGACTGATATATAACGGGGGGAAAAGGACCCACAAAGAGGAAATGTGGACATGGTGAAGCTGGTTAAAGCAAGGAGCTTGGATTAAAAGAGGCTGATGATCTTCATTAACATGATTCCACAGCTCTATTAAAATGTCATCTTAACCTGATTTCCAGCTTTCTACAGGTGTGGGAATGAAGAGATGCACGTCAGGTTTGCAGAAATAGAAACCACAACCTTGAATCACCTGCACACACACACCTCCCAGTCCAAACACACTGAATCAAAGGATTCTCAGGACTCTGAGCCAGGACCGTATCAGAAGCAAGAGAAGAAACAGTGGACCTGTTCTGGTCCAGGACCTTGGCAAGATGAGCGCGAGTGGTCGAGACCTTTTATTAAGCAAGTAAGTGGACAGTTACCTGACTGGACCAGAATTAAAAACTGGAACGAAGTCATGGGCCAGATTTGACCTGTGTGGTCTATATCAATATTTAAACCCAATATGATCTGATCCTTTTTCTATTTGGTTATGTGAGGGTATAAGTGTGGTTTTAATCTCTTTTCTTGTCCTATGTTGTAGTAAAGGAAAGATGCCCACACTCAGCAATGCCCCTCCTCCTGGGCCCAGAGCTGTTTCTGCTAAGAAGTCCTCCCCCTGTAAAGGTCTTGCCCATGTAGCCCGACTGATGAAACTTGGAAGATGTAAAAATGTGGTGGTGGTGGCAGGGGCGGGGATCAGCACTGCCAGTGGAATCCCAGACTTCAGGTTGAGTTTTTTTTTTAAGTCTCTGCTTATTCACATTTCTCCATTTTATTTTCAATTGTGTTTTAATTCTGTAGATCATGGTTGTAAGGAGAAACTGCTTTACCTTTGCTCGCGAATGGTAGTTAGCTAGTCTGTTGACCAGTCAGGGGACAAAATGCTGGGTTAATCTAAGCTGATCTGATAACATGGTCCAAACAATCTTTATCTAGATAACAGACCGTCCCAGCATAGAATGATTTCATTTAGATTTTCTAATGTTTCCTCACAATATGTTCTATAGAAGATGGTAAAATAAACAGTTTCAAAGTGGTTTTTGGAAGCAGTACTTTGACAGTCTTAAACTTTGCTCATTGTGAGACTTCATTTAATTGTATTGTTGGTATAAACCCCACAGTTGCCAAAATAGTCGCTCAGTGTGTAATTTAATTTGGTTTTAAAAATAAAATAATAATAAACAGAAATAACACCTTTGCCTTTTTCCCCAGAACTCCAGGGACAGGACTTTATGACAACTTGCAGAAGTATAATCTGCCTTACCCAGAGGCGATTTTCAACATCGACTATTTCTCGGACAACCCACAGCCCTTCTTCTCTCTTGCTAAAGCTCTGTTTCCTGGCGGCCATCGACCCAACTACGTTCACTATTTTATCCGCATGTTACATCACAAAGGCCTGTTGCTGCGAATGTATACACAGAACATCGATGGACTGGAGAAATGTAAGAGACAAATCTGTGCAGACACGTAAATAATGAGAAATCCAGATCATTTTTTTAAGTCGCTGCTTTTCGTGTTATCTAATCTTCTCTAAAGTGTGTGGCATCCCAGACGACAAACTTGTCGAAGTCCACGGCAGTTTTGCCTCAGCGTCCTGTCACTTGTGCTACACTCCGTACCCTGCTGAGGAAGCTAAGGTACAGAGGTGCAGACATAACCCAGTCACTTCCCCTTTAACTGACACTGCAGCAACGTCTCCTGTGTCTTTTTAATCACTAGCATAAAATAATGAGCGGCAAGATCCCCGTGTGCACATTCTGCACAGCTACCGTCAAACCTGATGTTGTGTTTTTTGGAGAGGACCTTCCTCAGAAGTTTTTCCTTCACACAGAAGACTTCCCCAAAGCAGACCTGCTTATCATTATGGGCACATCGCTGCAGGTAAAAGGGTTTTTAATATCTCACTCCCAATGTTAGAAAACAGAGTTTTGGGACCTTGTGTTGATATTGTTAACTCTCTCTTATATCTAATGAATACTGTTTCAGATTGAGCCGTTTGCCAGCCTGGTAAACACAGTGCGCTCCACTGTACCACGTCTCCTCCTGAACCGACACGCCGTGGGTCCATTTGAGAAGGTCCGACTGAAGAGAGGCGATCACATGGAGCTGGGTGACCTCGAGGTCACAGTCAGACACTTTGCTGAGATGCTCGATTGGGATGATGAGGTCACAGAGCTGATGAGAAGCCACGCAACAACAGTGAGTTTTATCAGAGGCTACATATGTCAACAGTGTGTACAACTACACCAATAAATGTCATATAAAAAAAAAGTAGGGACTCATCTGATATTAATGTCTGATATCTGTTGTGGTGTTGACTGATTGGGGCTGATCCTTCATTCTGTTCTTTACTCAAATTCTACGATTTTGTTGCGTCACGCATCAGCAGCATGCACAACATGGAAGCGCTAGAATCGTTCTGGATACTCTTCTATACACACACACTACATATTTTCTATTCCAAATGACCACCACTTGACAATTTTACCTTTATTAACCCTTTCTGCAGAGCAGTGGATCACCGATAACTAGTTACCCATTAGTGAGCGGAGAGACGCAGTTTGAAGGAGAAGTTACGGCAGGGACTCCTGATGGGATGGACAGCGAGGAGGCAGACTCAGAGGTGGACAGTAAAAGCTCAGCGTCCGCCAACATGGACCACTGAGGGTTAAGGTGTTTTTTCTGTTTATTTCACACTGAGACTTGTAAATGTATGGTCTTGATCTCAATTGTAGCTTCTTTTTAAAAGAATTTCCACTGAAAATCTTCCTTTAAGTATTTTTGCACCATAATGTTGTACATCATCACTGTATTTTTTTAACAAAATTTAATAAAGCTTTATTTGCTATCGATCTTTCTACGCATTTGAAGGTGAAAAGATTGAAGTCAGAGACTCTCCTTACATTTTATTAACATTAAAAGCCTCAAATTAAACAGCAGTGCTATTTACAGTGTGTAAAGAAATTGTGCCAAAAATTAACAAAACAATTACTGCAACAGTTTCCTAAATGTGATCAGCAAGCAGTTTTAATGTCACCTTTACATGATTAAATGATCAAACACAACCTGAAAACCTGAAGATATCAACCTTGGTTCAATATTGGGAATCTCCCCACTCAACACGAGCTGCATGTGTGTGTGTTTGTGAGGAGGCAGTGGTGGTGATTCACATGTGAAGTGAAGCTGAATTTTAAAGCAAAATCTACTTCTAACTATCATGATGTGCAGCTTAATCCTCAGCCGGTACCTGTTATACTCGACCAAAAACTGTACCAGCACAATCACAGTGTGTAACCTTTTCTTTTAGTTTTTATAAAAAAAGCAAATCTTTAGTGTACAAAAGATTCACACTTTACAGGGAAAAATAGGATCATGCAGAAAATAAGATGTAGGTTCCATTTCATTGTCACCAGTTATAATTTAAAAAAAAAAACTACTAGAGAGAGTCATTTGTAAAATTCAAATGGAGAGTTTGTTACTGAAGGCCTGAGCCCTGATTTTATTAAAGTATCCTTGGCAACTGTCATGACAATTCTACTAACAAAAACAAATCTGCCTACAATGGCACTGTTGTTTGAATGTGAGGTACAAGACTGAGCCAGTCTGAACTGGTCCAACATCATTACCGTCTCACGTTTGAATAGAATACACAACAGGAGTGTATGTATATATATAAAAATAAACAGCACAAGTGAAGGAATGATAACTTGACTTAAATACATTTGAAACACAACCATGCAGTGTTTCCTGCCTCTGTTTTGTTCATCATCATCATCATCATCAAGGTGCAACACTTACTACAGAGGCCTTTAAAGTACACTGCTACAAAAGTCTAGTCCACATCCTTTAAAGAAAATGGCTTTACAGCAAAGATAAGACTCGCTGAGCAATGCGTCCCACTCCAGGCCTGGACCCACAAGTTTGAAAGCACCAGAACAGTGCTACGGTACATTCCCACAATGCACTGCATGTTGATGACTAACATGCAGTGGATTAAAAGAAATGGATCGCACCACTATGGTCTTTGCGTGATTTAACTAATGCTATTTTGACAGGTTTACCAATAAGTAGCAACATCTCCCCCCAGTTTTATTAGGATACTGCCCCCTAGTGATCAAATTAATTTCTCTTGCTTCTTCGTGTTTACTTTCTTGGCTTCATTTATAGAACAGTGCATGTGGGTAAAATTCAAAATGCCTGCACGTGCAAGTGGCCAGTATTTTATACAATCACGTACAATGTGAAAGTACAGCACATAGAAGTATTTACAATGTTTCTGCCAAATACTTCCTATAACTGTAGACAATGAACCCCTGTGTTTCGGCCTTTGAAGGACTCGTGAACTTACCTCCACAGGACCCAAGCCTTTAATGTGGTGGGCTAAGTGTGAAAAGCCTAGTTGTGTGCAGAGCACTAGTCAGAGTCTGATCCTGAGTTGTCGTCAGGTAGATCGTAGAGAGTTTCTTCAAGGGGAGCCAACTTCCCATCCGGCCTGACGCCCATTGGCCGAATCAGGTTCTGCCTGTGGATACAACAGAAACAGGATTGCATCAGATACAGGATCACTGAACAGGAACACTGCCTCACTTCTCTGCTGCTAACGAGTTTAAACAAAACCTTTTAAAATAGTTTTTTCTTCTGGACATTCTTAAGCTGAATATAGCCTTAAAGGGTACTTGCTACGTGTTTGACACAGACTTCTTGAACAATGTAATAATAATAATAATAATAATAAGTTCTGGGACATACAGTAGTAGACAGTCTTCCTACCATCATCATTGCACCCATTTGAATGTCACTGCAAGTGGAACTGATTCAAAAAGCACAGTAACAGTAACATTGTTGATCCTCTTGTTCAGTTCTATTTTCAGAACATACACCGCGGGCACCACGTTGGTGACCCCTGATTTAGAGGATGGTCTGTATATGTAAGGACTAACTTTGCTCCTGCTGTAAGGCTCCAGCAACAATAGTTTTGCAGCAAGAAAAATATTTACTATATACTATAGTACTGTACTTTATTAGATAAATAATACTCACTGTTTTTTTAAACTCCCCTGTGTATTTACAAAGAAAAATCTGATTTAAACAAAATGACTGACAAGGCACTGACTGTCTTCCTTTAACGGGTAATCAAGACGCTCATGGCCAGAAATGTTTTCCCAGTAAAGATAGAGCCTTCAGGTGGCAGTGTGATGTACTGTATGCACAACAGAAAAACAATGATCATCTGAGCCATGTTACACAGTAACAGCTGACCTCCACTCTTCTCTGAATGCCATTTTACTAAGTCATCATCATGGTTTTCCAGCTGTGTTACAACAGAACAGAAGTGTGCTTCACCTCCTGTCTTCATCATCTCCAACTCCACAGAAGGTCCAGACCCAGAATCACACACTCCGACCTTAGAGTGGAACATTGTTACTCTTCCTATACCAGGAACTTGAGGACCCTCACTCAATGCTCAATTCTTCCCCCCTTAAACTAGCCCATGTTGGGTCCTCCTCTTCTCCTGTCGACCCCGACCCTCCCTGCCCTTTTCTCTCTTGCGGCAGTTTAATTACAGGATCAGTGCTTAGGCTAATCTCCTCAAAGCTACAGCTGCCACTTAATACTAATCCAATTTAAGCTGCACTTTTGTCACCACTCACCCCCATTCTCATGATTTGTCAACACAGATTTAGAGAAGAGCAATGCAATAAATGGATGTGAAGATAACAAAGTGGGAATATGAAACATGAAGTTTTTTAAAAAGCACAATCCTAAGACAGTTAGACCAGAGACAACTGGAACTGGAACTTTTGTGCCAGTCTGCTGTCACTGGTCAAAGTGGGTAAAACAACAATGACGGCCAACAAGACAAAAAAACAAACAAACAAAAGAAAAAATGTGTATCATCACGCCGACCAATTAAAGAAGGAGAGAGAAAATTTTTCCAAGCAGTGGCAGAAGTAGCAGTTTGGCTGATATAAGGCAGGTGTGTGGTGAATATCTGCTAATTAGAGGCTCAGATAAGCAGTTAGAAGAGCACATTCTTGCAGGCCCTCGGCCGATCTCCTAAGAGCCCTGTTTCTAGTGAGGAAGCACCACTCGGTCATCTCCTCATCCTTAATTTTCTCCTAACGAGGAGGAGCAGAAACCTGACACAGTGTCATAAAGGAACCGTCGTCCTCTGGTCACACGTGTCCTCATTACAGCTCTACTCCTCTTTTGGATCAACAATGACAAGGTCAGCTTTCTTATGTCCGCTCGTGTCTCCTCCTCTTCACCCGCATCGCTCTCATCATTCCTTTGTCTAGCTGTACCTCTGTCTAGGTCTACTCTCTGTCTGGCTCCACAGAATGAGAAGAATAAAGTCAGGACATGTTAATAATAACCTGAACAAGGGGACAAAGACGAACCAGAACCAACAAGTTGCCAATTAGATGATAATTAATGGAGAGGAGGTAATGATGTTGCAGCAGTGTCCCGGCAGCTTCATTGACTCCAGCTGAATACTGCACCAGGCTGGAAGTCCACATCTAATTGAAGCTGCAGCTAATGGTGAGAGATTCTTCTTCTGGTGAAGCAGTTGGCAGGGAACTGACTCACTGATGATCATCTTACAGGCATCATGACTGACCAAAGTTAGCTTCTCTTTAAGGAAGAAAGGTCAAACCGTTGACAGGTCTTTGTGGACGGAAAAGAAGTACTGCATTTCAAATACAAAACGGTGACGTTGTTGAAATTGGAAAACTATATTTAGTCAAACAATGAATATTAAAATGTCTACTGTATGTGCCTATATATAAAGCCAGCTGGGCATGATGATGGGCGAATGTGGGATAAAGAAAGAACCACGGTTTTACGTTCCCTCTCCTCTGACATCACAGGTACATTCATTGACAATAACGTTGTTGTTTTCCTATAAATAAGGCAGAACATTTTGCTTCTGACCGTCTTTGGTAGAGAAACCTTACCTTGATAACTTGTCTAACATGTTGACCAATTTCTGGGCTTCGTATTCCTTCTGCTCCTCCGTCATCTCCTCCATGGGATTTGGCATGGGCTCCTCCACGTGACCAGTGATGGGGTTAATGCTGAAGGCACATGAGTCAGTTGAATTAGCACAGACATTAAATCTTGTATAGGTCACAGCCTGGAATCAGTAAAATCTATGTTTTCAAAGTTTAATATGCCACCTCCGTTACCCAGAAAGTCATGCCACCTATTTTACACCAACTTTCGTTTATTTCATTTTTATTGAAACCCAACATACTGTGGTGTCTGTCACTATTTGATGTCAGTAGTACAACAGAGGCCAGCTAAATAACTAAGACCATGGCTGTCAAAATGGTTAATATGGTTTTTGGAGTTGTAACATGCTACACGAAAGTTTTCTATTTTGTGTATTTCTACCTTTAAAGAAATACTAAAGTAATAATATACTTTTCAAAAGTGTTGCCAAGTAAAAGTAAAGGCTTATAGAGAACAGAATAGTTTTGCGTATGATATCCTTGGTCGGAGTAAATGAGTGACACTGTAGCATAAGCTGCATGTAGGTTGTCAGCAGTTAGCAAATGTTTTAGAATTCCAACATATACCCTACTAAAATTGAATACAAAAACAGTACTCACAAAGGTTTGGCGTTTTTGTATTCTTCGGTGTCTGAGTCTTCATCATCAGAATATTGAGTCTCTCCTCTTCCCCCTGAAAGAAGTCCTCGAGCCACGAGGAGCCCTGCTGCGTTCCCATAGCCTGTGTACTTCAGCAGATTGTCAACTGAAACACAGAGCCATAAGGACACAACAAGTCAATGATCCCAGCAACACTAAAACACAAAAATGTCTCTTTTTCCTGGTAGTGTCTGCCTTCAACATATCACCATTTGATTCCTCTCACCACTTTCTTTGCACAGCACAAACAGAAACTCTGCTGCTGTCTGCTTCACTCCCATGTCCACGTGAGTCATGAGACGAACCAACTTGTTCCTGACCGCACTGCCGATCTCTGGCCGGATCTTGACATCCTTCAGTGGAGGGAGTACCTGAAGTGAAGATTCTTACAATGACGCATGGATTCACAATTTAACTGTCACTAAAACCAAACTCTTCCACACCAGGCTGAAGTGAAGTGAGAAATCCATTTACCAGTTTTCTTTTTTTTATCTTAAACTGATTTAACTGTATATATCTTATATGAGTATTATTCAATAATAATCTTAAAAAAGGCAAGTTTTTCTGATGTCAACTTATAAATCTGACTTAATGTGACAGTTTATGTGAAGTTTGACTTGTCCACTGTCTACATCAAGTTGTGAAAAACACAGGGACGATAAAAACGATACTTTATAGACGTGTTTTAGATTCTTCAAGTACATACAGTAGACCGTGAAGCTGTTGCTGTACCTGAGCTTTAATATATCTCCTGATCTCCCTGTGATGTCGAGATCCTTCAGTTAACAGGCTGAGCACTGGGGTCAGTCCCTCTTTGTAGTTGGAGCCCTGTCAGAAGGACAGAAAACAATACAAGCAGATACGTTAAAACTGGCAAAATAAATGTGGTGTTCTGAGGCAAGCTTAAGAAATGCAAACCTTTAGGACATTTATTATCAACACACGGCGTATGTTTACATACAGTACATGTATATTTTACATTGATATATATTTTGCATCTAAATACCATATGCATGCTGTGCAAATGTAAATCAGAATGGCACTAGAGGGATGCAATTCATGTGAACAACTTCACGGCACACTGTCACATTGTGAACTGAATGCAGAAAATAAACTTCACCTTGTCAATTCTTTTCTCCATAAAATCTAGTAAGACCTGGATGGCAGTCATGTTTTTCCCACTGTACTGTTCCTCTCCTCCCTGCACAGGCAGGTCAATCAACACATCTAAACAGGACACTGGCAGGTTGTTGAGCAGGTTAACAGCGTGGCTGAGGATTGAAAAAAAAAAAAATTACATACAACCTTATCTCAGATGAAAGAGCCAAAGGAGTGCTACTTATCATTGTTGCTTTAAATGATACTTGAAAACACTCAACGTGACAACGTGGAATTCAATCAATTGTTGTTGTTAAACTCAATCGAAACATAGGGAGTGAAACTGTTTCTGTCCATCTGATATACAAGGCTCCAGTGGTTGAGTAAAACTATTCTTATATGAATACATTTTAAAAGAAAACATTTAAAATGTCTGATTCAATCAAAGCAAAATAATTTTGTTTTCTTGTGGGCAGCCTTCTTTGATTTGAAGTTGTTCTTTTCTTACCTGTGCGCCTCTTCTGTTTTCTCCTCCGTCTCAGTCTTTAGCATCAACAGGTGGCGCAAAATAGCAGCAATGAGCCGGAACTGGTGATCATCTTTCTATTCAGGATAGAGTTATGAAAAATACTTGTATCAAACTTTAAGCGGGGAACCTGGACAAGAAACTGCACAACTTTGGAAAACAAATATGGAAACACACACAGACGCAAAGATGATTTTACATTGTTTGTTTGTTTTTTTTTATAGGAAGACTACTCAGGTGCATGTCACAACTGCATTGCAATAAAATCAGTTTGTATTTTGTGAATGGTCTGACAGAATAAACCGTCTGTAAAAGTCGTTAATATCAGTGTGATCACTACTATTGCTGTATTGTATTTATGTTTTATTTTTTTTAATTAAATTGCTCATGATCTACCAGCACTCCCTTGCGACCTACTGGTGGATCCCAATCTACTTTGTTAGGCACCGCTGATTTAGCACATCCTAATTAGTGAAGAGGATGTGTTTGAAAAAGATGAGCCAAGCATTAGCTTTAGCCCTTATCACTTTTATAAGTAGAAAAAGCTACTGAACAAGTGCAAAGGCTCAGGGAATGCACATGTTCTTTAGAAGGCACATAAAGTGAAGGTTTACCTAAATGTTAGACATGCTCCCTTTTAACTAACTTACCTCACCAGCAACACTTAAAGTGAGGTTGAACAAAGCCTTGAGTGCTTCCCTTGCTCGCTCACTCTCCTCTGCAAGCATGGGCCGGGCCTGATGGTCTGGAGCAGCAGCTTCGTAGGGGCCGACCCATCGCACACCCAGTGTGTGCTCCAAGACCTCTGTCAGTAGTCTCAAACCATGGCAGTCTTTTCTCAAAACCACTCTAACTCTAGGCTGCAGGGCCGCCAGCAGAAAAAGAAGGCGCAGCGTGAACAGGCCGACCTCGTGGCTCCATGTGTGAGAGGTACGCAGGCTGGCACAGAGGCCAAAAGCCAGCTGCACTTCCACGCTGACCTGCTGAGCTGCAGGGCTGTTGTAAACCACGTTGCATAGGCACTTAAGGGCCTCCACTACCACCCTTTCCTCCTCCTCTGACCGCGTGTCTTCTTCTGAGGTTCTCTCGTTGTCACCTCCAGCCTCCGGGGTGTGGAGCTTTGCCATCCCTCCCAAGGTCAACATGCCTTCCTTGGTCACTACAGGACCAAGGACACGCTTGTCTCTGGATAAGATACGAAGAGTCTCCAGACATGTCCTCTGACAGCTGAGTTGTATCGGTTTCCCAAGTATTGACATCACACTCTGACAGAGTTTCTGCAATGTGGGGAAAAATAAACACGTAAATAAAGACAAGCTCAATTTAAAAGAAAGTGGTAAGGAGTCTACTAAAAAGGAGAAGACTAAAGATGGCAAGAACTTAGGAACATTTGTATTTAATATCAGAAGGGACTAAAATACTGGACCAGAACCTCATGTCTTTAAGTGGTGTGATATTTTTTGCATTTCATAAATTGCAGAATTTTCAACATAAAATGTTTTGTTACAATGAACTTATTGCTATTTAACCATTATATCTTTATGTAAATTAAAATGTACACAAATCCATGGCAAAAAGTAGATAAACGGTGCTTACACTTCGCAGGGCTTCTTCCTTTGGGTCAAAGGCGAAGATGCGACTGTTCTGAAACACAAATGTTCAGTTTTGATACAGAAGGATACAGGTGTTATAAAGATGACAGGGCAATGTTGATGTTTGCTAACACTTTATTTATAACCAGTTTCACAGCAGGAAATATTAGCATCTTTAGCGACTCCCGTGTCTTATGACCAACACCAGCTTTCCCACTATATGTCACACGGACTAATTTTTATACATGTATATTTATTAATCACTCAGTCACAGTACATGAGCTAACGATCTTATATTTAACAAATTGGGAGACCGAACAGCATATTAGCAACGGGCTAGCCCAGAGCTAGCTGCACAAGCAGTTCCGCTAACACGCTAACGTTAGCGCTGACGTTTATTTTGGTTTGTATTTATATAAATTAAATGAGCTTGACGGCAACTAACCTCCACATTAAACTCACACAGGAGCTTCTCCACTTCGTCTGTGTTGGCAGTGTCAAGCTGCGGCAGCACATTGTTTAAATCCATTACGTTAGTTAGACTGAGAGGTAACTTGGTTTGAAAACAGCCGTGAGAGACAGAGGAGGGAGGAGCTGTCAACGGGGAAATCCTCCTGAGCCTGCCGTGAACATAATAAGAAATGAACGAAAAGAATAATACGTACATAATATTGTCTAACATTTAATATTGGCTTTTTAATATTTATGACACGTTCAAATTCAATTCAGAATAAATATTAAAAAATACGCAATCACGCTTTAAGGTATGCTGGATTAAGAAGTGGTGAAAAGAATATTACAATTGAAACATATTTATTTTAAAATATTGAAAAATATTATTGAAAATATTTATATTTGTGTAAACTTGTTTTATTGGGATTTTAATTTATTTCATTACCACAAGAATAAACCTTATGTGAAATGTCTATCAGGAAATAGTATAACTTTTTTTTTCTATCAGCTCTGCTGAAAAACCTATTGACTAAATGTTATATGTTCTCTACAATGCTTGAGCAGGGATATGACGAGGTATTTAATAAACATTTACCATGACTACAAAATGTTGTTTAATCCCACAAATATTGACCCTGAAATGTGGATTCTTGTAAATGAGCGAATGAGTGAACTAAAAAAGAAAGAAAGAAAAAAAAAACACTCGCAAGACACACAGATGTAAGTAAACGTGAAAACAGAAAAAATGAGAATGCACTTACCTAGGAGTAGTCATTTTAATTTTCTTTACTCATTAATTAACCTGGTCTCTTCACTCTCCACTAGTTTGTCTCCTTCTTCTTGTCATTCTGTCTTTGCCAATGCAGTCGACAACACTGATCTTGGATCTGCTGGAGATTTCTTCCTGTTAAAAGTGAGTCTTTGTTTTTAGTACTGACTGATAGCAGCGTTACCAAGGCTCTGCTTTGAAATCTTCAAGGTAAATTAATATTGATATACTGGTCTGATGACATGAGCAACATTTCTTTCCACAAAATGTTTACTTTGGTGTGGAATGAAACAACACACACTGGATGAATATTCTAACGAGTGCAAACATCGACAAAGGTCAAAGGTGAAAGTTCACCAGACTAAAGATTACAATGGTCCCAGCACAGCAGGCCATTCTCTCTATTCAAATGTAATACTTTCTTTTCTGTGTGGCCCTTGTGCCCCTGGCGCAGCCCCAAATGTTCACCCACCCATGAACACAAAATCAGCTCTGAGAAAAGAGATTGTGGATTAAAAAAAATCAAATTAATATATATTAAACTAATGAAGTCTAAATAACATGGGATGTATTACAGCTTTTAAATTTAACTGTGATGACTGCATGGAAATAATAATAATTGCAGTGTATTATATTAACATGATCATGTTGGGTAACATTATTTATAATTACGACAGAACAGGATGGAATAGAGAGAGTCAACATTTTGTGAATAAACTGCATCAATGTGGCAACACTTTTCTTCCCCACCGGCACGACAACATCAGCTGTAACCACAAACAGTTTCCAGTGCTTTTTATTCACAGAAAAGTGACAAGACCTTATGTTACTGTACACTTTAATATTTTCACTTTAATATAAATACCCACAGGGTAATAGGTCCTCAATCGCTTTGAGTGCATTATAAAAACACACAACCCTAGGTTAATGCGTCTGTTACTAACATACAAAACAGAGAGCAAAGAACTATATAAATATACACATATATGTATATATATATATATATATATATATACATATATATATATATATATATATATACATATATATATATATATATATATATATGTATATATATATATATATATATATATATGTATATATATATATATATATATGTATATATATATATATATATATGTATATATATATATATATATATGTATATATATATATATATATATATATGTATATATATATATATATATATGTATATATATATATATATATATATATATACATATATATATATATATATATATATATGTATATATATATATATATATATATATACATATATATATATATATATATACATATATATATATATATATATATATATATACATATATATATATATATATATATATACATATATATATATATATATATATATATGTATATATATATATATACACACATATATACGGTCAATTCTTTCAACAGAAATACAATCAATACACTCATCACAGCATTCAAACACTATCCAACATAAAGAAACTGATTAAGGTCTTTAATATTTTCTTCATTATTTTATATCCTTTGCCTAAGAAGTTTTGGTCACTGCATATAAAAGGCTTCCTAGGAGATCATTCAGGCAGTGCAGTTCATCTTGGTCCTGCAGCAGCAGGGGTTTTCACCTGCTGAAGTGACGTCAGGACAAGTTGCTGCCCGGTGCTGAGAAACAAGAGGCAGCGGCGTCGCTGAGATTGTACAGGTGCCAGGGACCGCCCACAACGCACGGATCATCAGTCGCTGACAGACATGTGCAGAGACTGATGAGACTGATGAGGGAAATAGTAGCGGAGGTGTACATTCCATTCCTATGAAAAAAGGCACAGTTTGGCAGCAGCATTGCACTTTTTTAATGATTTTGCTGCACATTTTTTGACAATCTGAATCAGTTAATACTTTTTCTTCTAAGCACGGTTGAGGAAAACGTTCATATATATTATAAAGCAACCATCAGCGGTGGTTGACACGACCAGTCTTTCAAGCTGTCTGTACGTGATTCCATGTTTCCTTTCACCTTGCGTTTGCCGTCTCCACTCACTGCTCAAATTTCACAACGTGACAGGAGGAGTTTGAAGACTTAGCCCTCGTGAGAGTTTGGCAGGCCTTGAGGTCCAACATGTCTTAACTGGCAGTCAGAACATCGGTGCTCGACCACTATTTGGCCCAGCCTGCAGGGGTCTCTCCGTTGATGTAGGCGAAACCAGGGAAATGCTGTGAGTGTTCATATTCTGAGTTCCTGCGCGGCCCCAGTGGGGGGTACATGTCCCCAGAGGCGGCGTAGCGGGATGAATGCATAGGTGGGCTGGTGTAACAGCTGTTAACTGGTGACACGTCTGGCCACCTGGGGGCGACGGGCGTAGAGTGCAACCGGGGAGTGCCGCTCATTAAACATGGCTCCATCCGAGTCATCTGGCCGTTAAGTTGGTACTGTGGAGCAGAAAGAGGTCAAAGGTTAGAGGATGCTAACTGACTAACCTGTCTGCTGATAATTATCACATTCTCAACCTCTATAATACTACTGTCGTGTTTTATATACTTCAAACAGAAGCAACACGAAATACTGTATGTACACTGTGTACTATAATACCGTTGCCTACTTTATATTTGTGCATATTGTGGTATTTTTTCTTTAATCTTCTATTTTCACTCTGTCTTTGCTACTGATATTTTCTAGTTTCAATATTTTCTCTGCACATCTTCCACTAGTTTTTTTCTTCTTCTGTTCTATACCGTAATAATATTTTTGAGAATTTAATTTTAATGTCATATTAAAAGGTGTGAATATAATTTCATTGTGGCTTTAATTCTTTGCTAAACAAAGCAAACTCCACACTTCATTAAAATAATTTTCTTTGTTGAAATAGGAAAAACTAATTTGTCTTAAATTTAATATATCATCTGTTCATTAACAAAGAAAGAATTATTTCGGACATATAGTGACATGTTAAAAAAAAAGAAAAAAATCTTTTAGAATATCACTTTAATTCTGAGCGGCTGTGCTCCAGTGTTCTAAATGTGTGATAAATACAGCATCGCCAATTAAAAAAAGAAAATCTCTTTGTTGAACAGTGTTGCAGTTGACGTGAAGCAACTCGGCCAAAAGAGATTTCCTGTGAGGGGAAATTGCCTCACAAGCTGAAGCAAATGGGGAGAAGCCACTTAAATAATTAAACGTCAGCTGAAACGCTGTACTTTTTGTCTAATTTCTGTCGCCCGTGGTGACTGACCCCAAACAGTCCTGTAAAAATCTGCCTGTCGTCAAAGATGTTTGGACAGATGTGAATTTGACAAGTTCCTTTTTGTTGTTTTCAGCTCCATTTTTAAGCTCGTACTCAGACAAAGCTCCAGCATTGTGTCTAATAAAAAAAAGTGGAAGTAGAATCTTTTTCCTTTTCCTCCCTAAATATAAACACCACAGTCAATCCCATTATTGGAGATCAAGGCACGGAAAGAGACGGTCACTGCAGGTCAGGGAGCACAACATGGGGCTTCAGCTGCACATGTGGAAAAGACACCACTGAATAACAATATTATAACAAATGTCTCTCTTTTTGTTCCTCTCTCTCTGGTATCGCTGGTGTTTTATTTATTTATTTTTAGACTTACTTATGACTTGTTTTTATATCGGTTTCGGTTTTCATTCGTTTTGTTAATACGCTCATCTTTTGTTTGACTGAGACTAACCTGCGCAGACGAGCGGTGGTAGGCAGAGTAGTGGAGGGGGGCAGGGATTGGTGACTCGTGGGCCAGACTGGGGTACTGGCCCTGGATGGAGTGAGGATGCTGGTTGGTGTAGCTGCCACAGTTGTAGCTACCAGTGTACCTGAAAAGAAAATAAAGGTACAATGCATTTAAGAAATAAATAAACAAATAAGTGTCGAGAGAGAGCGAGAGAGAGGGGCGGCTGGGGGGGCAGCCAGAGAGAGAGAGAGAGAGAGAGAGAGAGAGAACAGCTTTTCACTTAGACTTGGCCAAAACATGGTTACATTTTTAATAAATCATTTTAAAACCTGAAAAATGAATGGCCAAATTCGAACCCTTTCTTTCTGACTGCTGCCTACAATGCTAGAAAATATATTTTAAAATGTATCCTTTACAATTATTCTTACATTCAATCAAATGTAGCTTTCATTTGCCTTATTGATTACCTATTATTAATAAGATATCATTTACAGAAGCAAAATTGAATTTAATATTTTAAAATCCTAGAGAGAAGAGGAAGGGATTCATCAGGAAGAGTGAAAACAAACCACGATCATTAATAATCCAAACCATAATTACCCATGCTCCTCTCTTTGGGCGTAGACCGGCATCCTGTGTGCGGAGGATTGGGGAGGCACAGAGGCACTGTTCCTCATACAGGACAACTGCTGGCCAGCTTCTGGAGTGGCGCCCCCTGCCGTTGTCACTGTGTATGTAAGGGACCAGGTATATGACTGAACAGCGCCTGCTAGACACGTGCACACGCAGAGACAACCGTGTTTGCACAGAGGAACTATGTGCAATAGAAGAGGGAGACACTGATGGACAGTGACGGCCGCCTTACCTGTGGTAGCGGTCACTGCAGTGTAGTCCGGGGACACCGCCGCCGTGGGAGACGTGGCTGAGGAGACGCCCACCGAGTGGACGGACCGAGCGGGAGAGTAGGATTCAGGTGATGGAGAGGCAGGGGCCGTTTCTGTCAGTTTGAACTCCTCCTCCCTCTCTGCTGTAGGTGTGAACGGAGAGATGAAACACTGGACCGTACGAAATAAAAAAGACTAACCTTGTCATTAACCAACTGGAAGATTTTGTGTGATTTTTCACAGTTTTAACTGTGAAGTCTTTAAGGAAAGGCCAGGCCTGTTCAAGGATCTGTGACGGTGAACTCACCTGTGCTGCCCTCTCCCCTCATGGCCCTCATGAGGTCATTAGCTCTCTCCTGACAGTGCAGGGACTCCAGCAGATAAAGCACATAATCGTCAAACATGAGATGAATCAGGTGAAAGGAGCCTGAACACAAACACACAGGAGGAAACGTGATGATGCCAACTGTCATTCAAACCAACAACAAGTGAAAAGAATCGTCTGATTATCTGAGAAAGTAGTGATTTAATATTCTTTTGAAATACATTAGTAATATAGAGCAAAACGAATAAGAGAGTTTGCTGATGGTACGCTATGAACTGATCTGGATAACGGACGTACAAGCCTTGGTTACATTATTATTGTACGAGTACAATATTAATAATAATAACTCATTCATAACATCGTCATAATCTAATCATCAATGGAATGTATTTCTGCCAACTATTTGTAACTTGTGTAAATGCTGTCAACCTTTTCTGAGGTTCTTGTCTTAAAATATGGTAAAAGCTCAACACGGTCGAAGGTCGGATCATGAACAGTTGTTGTTTTTCTGGCTAACATCATAGTAGTTGTTTTTTGGCCAAATTCATAGTAGTTTTAGATGCTGCTTTTGCTAACTTGTATTAGGTAGAATTGATACAAGTTCATTTTTAGTGTGTGATTTCATCTCCTTTTTCCCTAACTCTGCTTTTGATTTTTCTTTTTCGGGGAATCAAATTTACAATGCATTTCAAGGAAGGCTTCCATTTCCAATTCTCCCTCTGTCTTTGGCATAGAAAATATTTCAACCAACATATTTGTCTACACCACTGTTTCCCAAAGACTGGGTTGTGACCCTTAAGTGGGTCGCAAGAGATTTGTTTTTGGGTCATCTCGCATCATGTTTCCCAGTTTATGAATAATGTCTATTGGTCTGGGTCGCAAAGGTTTGTGACTTTTAAAATATGGGTTCCTGGAAAAAAAGTTTGGGAACACTGCTCTACACTCATTTGGTTTCAGATGAGTTTTTAAATCTTAAAAAAAATAAATGAGAAGCCAGTTTTGATAGTATTTTCTCTCCTTGGCATAGTGACCGTATCATTGAATGACTTTTCCTGTATTTAGCGCATCATCTGTTTTACTGTAACATATTAATCACAAGGCCCTGAAAACAAATACAGAGAGTAGAAATAGCCTGAGATGGCGATAGAAACATCTGTCTGATGACTTCACATCCTGCAGACTGACAGTACACGTCTGTTGTTAAAAAGGAAACAAGTGTACTTGTTCCATGTATGGACTTTGTGACTAAAATATGTCAGCTGACCCCGGGGTCGTTCGGAAGATGAGACCCTGGCATGTGGGGGAGTGTCACAATTGTGTCATTGTGCAGGTCACTGCAGCCACCGTGTGCATAATAAACACTCGCGGCCATTCAGGAGAGGAGGGTATAATACTGAGCAGTCATAAAATGGAAAAGACAGGCAAACACATTAGGAGGGAAGGGGGGGGGGCAGCTTTTGTTAATTAGCTGTTTGTGCAGGGAGACCTGCTCTATCAAAACACTAAAACCAGCTGTGTCTTTCATATTCACAGCCAAAAGACCAAAGCACAGGAAAGAGAAAGAGCCGTTTTCTTTTCTTTTACTTTGCCTTTCACTGCTTTTTTTCTTCTCCTCTATACAACGGCCCTTTGATTTAATTAAGAAATTGTGAATTGCTTGTTTGGTGGACGTTAACTAATAAGGTTGGTTTAATTAGATATTTACCAAATGAAGAGGCAGTTCCTGCCATCTTATTAATACAATAATGTATAGAAAGGATCTTTCTAGAAAACAGACGTGAATACAAGACGACTACTGTAGAAATACATACTTTGATTTAGAAATTTAAAAATGTATATCTTTTTTAACACAAACAGACTTTGTTTAAAGGATTTCTTTTATATTTTTGGTTTCACACAATAAATAATGAAAACAATGTTGCCCTTAATTCTCTTGACACTGTTTGTATCCACAGTTATTGTAACACCGTTGATGTCTTTTATTGTAAAATATACACTTATCTTTGGCTAACGATCCTAAATGTTTAGCTTCACATACAAATTCCATCTATGTTGACGTGGATGAAACGTTATCTTCAAAATGTTGTTGAACTAGGGATGATGTTGAAGAGCTAAAACTGAGCTGAAGAATAAATTAGTTCAATTACGTTAGCAAGAGGGTTGCTAAAATTGTGGAAATGGTAAAATAATGAAGAGAAAATATTTAAGTTAGTTAAAAGTTATTTAAAATATAGCTCTATAGTTATATAGCACAAATAACATGAAGTTAGCCACAGGACAGCTTTAAGTTAGCTATCAATATGGTAAAAAATAAAACAAAAAAATGAACTGTACTGTTAACGTTATATTTGAGGGTGGAGAAAATAGATTACATTACAAGTTGATATTCTAAAAAAAATATCAATATGGAAGACATTTAATTTAACATAACTAAAAGTTGAACAGTAGAATAACTGGTATTATACACACACAGTCATAAGTTAGACGATAAATAAAAGTAAATAAAGATAGAACCAAAAGTTGCTCCTAATTAGTAGTAGTTACTAATAACTACTACTAATTAGTACTAAAGTTGTTTTCCATAACCCAAAATAATCTTAATATAATTTATATTAAATTTGAGCCTGAGCATCCGTCTTCAGCCAAAGTAATGCTACATTAAAGTAGCATCCAAAAAGGTTACGTGAATTATATTAACATAAGTTAAATTTCACCAAAAAAATTCCAAAAAGGTTACGTGAATTATATTAACTAATTAAGCTAAATTTCACCAAAAAAATGACTCTATTATTAGCAAGCAATATTTAAACCACAACTAAAACATTTTACCACTAGTCTAACCTCACCCTAACTAGCACTAAAGTAGTGACACGTTAGCAAAAAGGAGAGTTTAGCATTAACATAACAAAGGCAAAACTGTGAAAAATACAGTCAGTAATAACTAAAAAAAAATTAGAAAAAAATAAGTAAAAGTTTAGAAAAAGATAAAAGCTTTAAGTATGCACTAAATTGTGTGTTATATATAACAACAATAAAAATTCATGAATAATAAAAAGACTACAAGAAACGTACCAAAACTGGGTGCGCTGTGGAGGGTCATGTCCCGGATGACTCTGGTACCGAAACAGGACCACATGAGCAGGAACTGTTGGGCCACCTTCTTCAGGCAGCCGGGCCTATTCCCTGCCACCTAGAGAGAAGATTTCCATGAGAAAAGAGGGGGGAGGGTGGGGAGGCAGAATTAACCCCCACGTCTGTATTGGGGGCTTAACCCTCAGGAACGAAAAACATGTCAACAAGTCAACTATTTAATTTGCCCCCGTGGACACACCTTCCTATTGAACCATTGTCTGGGCCGTCCAAGACGTTGCCAGGGTGACCAAATTTTACAAGGCCATATCTGGCCGTAATGGGAAGCTTGAAGACATCATTAACAGGGAGGATTTCAGGCTAAGTGCCCGTGTGTAAGAAAGACACATTGAAACGAGTGGTCTTCAGCAGCAGCAGGTGTCTTTCAGGACGCTACGCAAGTCATTCAGACATTTAAATGAGGTCTGTGTTTTCCACCGTCGCTGTTAGCATTCACTTATTCTGTGAGTAAAACTGCTGACTCACGAGTCAAGTTCTTTTGAATTCAACCTATCAGGTGTCTGACCTTGACGACGCAGCGGTCCACCATGGAGTCCAGCCACTCGATGTACGCTTCAATGGGTGACTGCTCCTCCAGGAGACGGTCGAACTCCTGATACACTGTGACACGAGGCAGAAAAGTCAGGTTACACACATATAAAGGTTGCATCTTTGAGTCACACCGGCCACGTAAGTGTGACCTCCGACCTCTCGAGGGCTGACGACTGCGGACGCTCCGCAGGGTATTTCAGAGCAGCAGTTAACTTATTCAACCTTTTGCTCTCCATCAGTGATGCTTTGACTCTGCCGGTCGTGGGAATGATTTCTGGATGGTGTGTGCGTTTTGTTTTTTTTGAGTGCGAGTGAAGTGCAGGTTCTCAGTGTTGTACTTGTTAAAGTAGATTTGGTTTTATCTGCATAAACGTACAATGGATAATAAGCTGCCTGTGTTCCTCTTGTGAGTCCTCCATGGTGTAAAGTGTCTGCTTGGTGATGCTGTTCAAGTCCACATTCCTCCAGTCCTCCAGCATCTGAAAGGTGATGTCGGCGCTGTTTATTACAGTCCTGGACGCCTGGTGGCAGACGTATCAACAATATTACTGACCCGTGGCTTATCAGCAGAGCTTGTTCATATGGATTTTTATTAAAAAAAAAAAATTCAGATCATGATAAGTACCTGACAAAGATGGTTTAAGGATGTTTGTCGCTTCAGAACCTGAGAAAATCTCCTGGACACTGACCGAAGGAGGGAAATAAATTGGGGTTAATATTTCGGATGATTGTTCACAGATAAAAAAAAAAATTACACGTTAAAATTCTGTGGGTTTTGTTTGTGATTGTGAGCGGTGTGTTCGTACTCACATTCAAATTTAATATTTCTCAGGTTCTCAGGAAGGTCATGAAGAGCTATTTTAAGCCACTCATCGAGCTGTTTGGCAAACTTTCGAATAACCTGAGTCAAACTGTAAGAGTTGAAAAAACAACAACAACTATGTAATTACTCCCACAACTCCACAGGTGCATAACAAAATAAAATATTAATATATACATGCTTTGAGAGGATAAAACACAGGAGAAAGTCAAAAACTGAAGTTGAAAAGATTCAGATTATTTTCTGAAAAACTATGTTGATTTGGTTGTTGATTAGGTAAAACAATTAGCTTAAAAAGCATTAGCATTGTTCATCTCAGTAGCGTTTGAAATTTCAGCCTAAAATCACTTTCACATATTTATTATATTTGTATTTGTAAGTAAGCGATTAATGGGGCAGTACTCTTAAAGTAAAAGGTTAAATAAAAAACAGAAGAAGTGGGAAATAAATTATACTACAAAAGTTTAAAAAAAAGAAAAAAAAAGCAGAACTACAATATGGCCAAACCTTGGAATTCTTAAAAGTTCTATGATCATGACTTTAAAAGACATCAGGTAATCAGGTAAAGACTGACTAAAATCTCAGAATAATTCATAATATGAGGATTCACTTGTATTGTATTATTATTATTATATTGTCAGACTGATTACAGGTGGCAAATATTGATCAAATTACCCCAGGAGATGGCCTGAAGTATAGTTTAAAATTCAATTTAAATTAATGAGCAATCATAAATGTTTATTTTCTTACAGGTGATGTCCCAGCAGGACTCACCTATCGGGCAGCGCTTGCAGGACAGTGGGCATCAGCACACCAGAGATGGCCTTGTAGAGTATGGAGTCACAAACTCCAACGATGTTCACGACGGTGGGGGAGCCGAGGACAGGGAGCATGTGGGGTGGCATGCCCTGCCAAAAGTGCAGCAAGAAGCTTTGGACCTGAAGATTCCAGGAAAAAAAAAAACCATGGCGTTTAGCGTTACAAATGAAAGACGCCGAGAGAGCGTGACGTTTTAAATTTAAAAGACACCTTGCCTCGTCAAAGTTGGCTCGAATAACAGTGTCCAGTATCCTCTGACAGTGTGTTCTGTACATCATGATGAAGGTTGACACCTGTGATCAACAACAGAACATCCATCTCAGTGCATAGCTCTCTCAATCTCTCCTTTCACTCTTTGAGAGGAGAGCGGTAGAAAAACAAGAAAATAAATCTCCTCCGAAGCATGAGAGCCAATAAATACACATACCAGGCAGAGTTATATAAAACCTGCTTTAGAGATCAGCAAAACACAAACCATTTAAAATCATGGCCCCTCTAACAGCCAGACAGCTAGTGCCTGTCCTTTGTCATTGCTAGATCTTATTATCTCCCCAAAGATCAAGAGTTAGTGAGGAGCCAGCATATAAATCCTTGAGCTCCTTCTCTAAACGCAAACCCAGTGAAAATCCACATAAAAGAGCCAGAGGGGGGCGCAGAGACGGCGAGATGGGAGGGAGAGGTGGGAGCAGAGGCACGGAGAGGAGGGGAGAGTAAGGATGGACTTTTTAAACTCCTGTTTACCCTCTCTTCTGGCAGGCTGGCAGGCAAATTTAGGTCTTTGACATTTGGAAACTCTGGCAGGAGTGTTCCCAGTTTGGAGCGCGGTGAATACGCCACTGTCTGCTTGGTGACCTCTTTCTTTCCCGTCTCGTTCACCCATGCCGCCCCCTTCTTGGAGTACATCACGTCATAATACTGAGACGTCTCCTTCACGGCAATCCCGTAGTAGTGGTATCTGAAGACGAGAGATCAGAAGGTAGAAAATCTTCAGTCGGATGTTGTGTAAATGGAAATCTCAAAAATATCTGGATGAAAAATACTCATTAGCATCTAAAAAAACCATATATATATATATATATACATATAGTATGAAATGATGTGATGTTAACGTTTTCATTCTGACCAACCAAACCAAACATATACCAACTCACTTGGATTGCCCTCGTGTCCCCAGTCTCCTGGTGGTTAACGCTGGGAACTGTTGCCTTATGATCTAGTCAGAATAAATGAAAGGCATAATCGTGAGTGTACTTTCTTTTTCTTTTTTTTCTTTCTATTATTTCTTTCAAAAAAATCTAGGTAAATTCTATTTCCATCACAACCATCACAGAGCAGTGAGGAAATCAGAACAGCTTTACAATTCACAGTTTCATAATCTAAAGAACAAATACTTGTGCAAAAACAGTTCAAGTTTTCAAATTTACATTTGAATGTTTTAATAGGGCCATGAGAGTTCTGTAATTTCCAATGTTGATTAAAGTGGTCCTGGAGAAACTGATGCACAAAGTCAATCCGTTACTCACATCAAAAGGCCAATTCATGAAGTTATCTAAGGTAATGCTAACCCAAAGATACTGGATAACAATTCAAATTTACATTTGAATGTTTTAATAAGGCCGTGAGAGTTCTGTACTGGATAACACTAGCTTAAATGTTAAAAATTAGCCAAGGTTTTGTCAGATTGGCTAAAGGTTGGTCAAAAACCGAAAAAAAAAAAAGAACTGAATGTTAGTCCATCTAGGTTTGTACTGGCTAAATGAAACAAGATATTAACCATGTGTATAAACTGGCTAAATGTTAACATGCTAACCATCAGCAACAACACGACATAACAACAACTTCTCTGAAATAACATTTACCAGGTCTTAAAAAATACACACCTGTTCCCTGATTGTAGTATTTTAATAAAACAGAGACAGTATTACTGCAGTGGTGCAGAAGAACTCCGTCTTTATAATAAAGTGTTCAATAAAGATTATCAGCCGAACAACATGAAAGTCCTATTGTTGTAGCCCCCCCTGGAGGGCACTGAGACCCATCGATTTATGACATCCATTTGTATTAGGTTTTTTTTTTTCCTTTTAATATCAACAGTCTCCCCTCATCCATCCAGCCTTCCCCTCTCTTCTACACTCCCCCCCTTCTTCCTCTCTCCCCTTTTTGTCTAAAGGATTGGATCTTGCTCCAGCTCCTGGTGCAGAAACTTTAGCAAACAGTGTAGCTCTCCATTGTGTGGGATGAAAAAAGAGGCCAAGCTGTGAAGTTTCTGTCAGGTCCTGCTTGATAAATGAGCAGACAGGGAGGCAGTCCGGGCCCTCTCTTGTTTTTTTGTCCTGAATCAATGAAGCCTTCCTAAAGGACACCCCACACTGCTCCAGCCACTGATCTAACATTCCGCAACATCTCACCCTTCCAAATTTCCTTTAATTACACATTAATCCTGGCCCCTTCTCTTTTTTGGGGGTTGAGGCTAGAATCCAGGGTACAGGGAATGACTGGGGGTAGGAAGGCTATGAGGAACCTCTTGGGGTTGTGGGAACAGAAAGACTGCACATCTCCTTTGGCTCTGGATGATGTTTTCAGCCACACAGCATCACGTTCTGCTGAGCTGCAGATGATTTGACTTCAGCACAGCAACATAAAAACAAACCAAGTTTCAGGTGAAGCGGGCTGAATGAACACAGACGGGCTGCATGTGCATTTGTCTGCTACTATATTATGGGCCTTCTTTTTTAACATATCCCTGTTAAAATACTAAAGGACAATACGTTGAGAGTCTCTACAAAGTCTAATCCTGCTATGCCCCCAATATTGTTGTTTCTTTTTATGTATATTTATTTTTTTTAATGTAATTTGAATGTAAGGACACAATGAGAGTGGCTTTTAAACACCTAAACTGCCATAATGGTCAGATTTCCAGTGGCATCTAAAGGCACCTCGTGTGATGGCTGCAACTTCGGCATGACAACGTCATCATTTGTGCAGAGCTGGCGTTTTGCGCCTGTTTTCAAGCTGCTCTGCTCCTTAAGCTAATGCATGTATTATGTACAGTATGTCTGACTTTTTCCCAAAAGACAAGGCAAAGATTAGGCAAAAGTATGGGGGACATTGCTAAATAGCACGCTAATGTTCACAGACAGAAGGAGCAATAAAACATTGACCTTAAAGTAGGCTGAAAGTCCCATAATTTGCTACAAATGTGACATAAAATGTTTATAAACTTATGACTGACTTATCTTTTGAAATAGGGCACACATACAGTACATTAATATATGTATGTTTATATTATTAATGATGTTAGAGTACAGCTCCAAAGAGCATCGCTAAGCTAACACAAGCTAACGCAACATCACAGCCTGTCCTGTCTGAAGAACTGCTCTCTGATGTTTTGAATGAATGTATTAGCATTCTAAATGCATTTACAGCGCCCCCCTTAGAGAGAGAAGAGGCAGATACGAGTGTGTTGTCAAGTGTTAACAAACTCTCCTGCATATTCTACATATTTGAGGACTATTTTACAGTTTGAAGTTCAAGAGGCTGCTTGAAATAAAATATCAATATCAGACTTTTCATTACTCACCTTTCCAAAACTGGCTGCATTCACCGGCTGTGTGTCGTGCTTCTCACTGAAGTCCAAGTAATGCATGTACAGGGCGCTTCGGGGGATACACACACCTTCAGCTATCTCATAGTTCGCCTCTAACCTGAAAAAATAGAAGTACAAATAATTTGTTTTATTTTAAACCTGCTGTGTAAGAACTTATAACATATATATATATAAATATATATATATTTCCTGTTTAACAATATTTTATTTATGGTACTTTCTTTGTGGTTCTTTCTTCTTTCATTCACTCCTAAATAAATATCCGTCGCTCAGACACTGATAACATTCCTTGCCAGACCCTAAGGTACTGAAAATAAAATAATTATATTTTGGCTGGTAACCTTTCATTGACCTTTACAGTATAGTTTAGTGTAAAAATAATAATGTACAACTGATGTTTCCAGTAGAACAAATAAAGTAAAAATGTCTTTCTGAATCTCCTGCTTCTGGTAGACATAAATGATGACAGTAAGCCGTTTTCAATGTATTTGGATTGAATTTAAAATATCATAAAGGCAAGTATCAGATAATGATTTTACTTCGCTGGCACTTTGTATCTGTATCTCTGCCCCCTAGTGGTCGAACAAATTAAATCTTTAAAAAGTCCTGTTTGTTTTATATGTTTATTTCTACAAACACTGTTTGTAAAATTAAACACACTGTAGTCATATTAGTCAGCAGAACGTCATTCAGAATAAGAACTGACCAGAATATCAACCGTTCAGGAGACTTAGCTGCAGTCGTGTAACATGAGTGAGAGCTATTTGTTAAGGTTCATTCATTTATTATGAATAAAAATAATAAATCCTTTACGTAGACTTTAACAATAATGGTTGCAAAAAATGTCTAATATTATCTTGTTAAATATTGTTAAATTACCTGATTTTTTAATATTGTTTAATGTCCAAACTGATGTCGTTCCTTAATATTAACTGAAATTTAACTGAACTGCCAGAAACAAACACAGCGTTCCCAGCCATCCTAACACATAGGAATGATTTGTTGTAAAGCCTGTTTTAAAATATAATTTGATGATGGTGTTTGTGTGTGTGTGAGACTGTAATCTGTCCACAGGTCAGTGAGTGCAGTCGTCCTCCCCCTGCACAGATTCACTTATTTTAACTCATTTCTGCCCAGCTGTGCTTCAGTGTTTACCAAGCAGGAGCCTCATATATTGTTGAATGAAGTAAAGGTGGCTGTTACAAACGTCATCATCATCATCTTTACTGAATGAAATGAAAAGGAAATTGGTGAAAAGTATTCTATTCTATTCTATTTCGTGGAATCAGAAAAAGGCCTTAGAATAAAATGTAAAAAAGGGATAAAACGCCTTGTTTTCTGTTCCTGACGCGTGAATGTGTTTGACAACAAAGACAGTGTATGTCTTTCATTCTAATGACAACTTTATTCTTATCTGTGTTGCAGAAACAATGTAAAATTAACTTTGTGTCAGAAAAAAACAAAAAATTATATTTTTATAATAGAAAAATATAAGGTAAAATAAACATTTTAAATGTGAAACTGCTGTTAGTAATAAGCACTGAAGGGACAAACATTGATATTTTTGTTAATGTTCAACACAGCAAAATACGCAAACATTTTATTTCCATTAAAATTTGGGATTTTAAGACATTTCGTTCACCTTTTCACACACATGTAACTGTCAGAAATAAAAGGTCGACTCAAACTCACCATTCCAGAGTAGCTGGTGTTGAATGAGGTTTTGAAGCCCTGTTATTTTCTTTCTCATCGTCTGTGAAACACAACACATGAAGGGTTTTTACTTCCAGCAGTAAATTGAAAGAAAAACAGAATAGTTTAATTTTGTTTGTGCTCACACTCATCGTTGGAAATGTTGCCCAGAGACGTGTGACTGGAGTAACGTTTGCTCTCACTCTCGTTGAGGCATCTTTCAATCCAACTCTCTAAAAAGAAACAAACAACCACAATATGTATATATATAAAAAAAATCCCCCCCAAAAAGTTTTTTTTTTTTTACAAAAACTTTAAACAGTGGCTGTGTAGAAGAAACACCCTAAATGTCAGTGTTGTGACAAAGCGAGATGACAACATTGGATTGAACGGACAGCACAGCAGCCGTGGCTCTATTTGAGATGTTTTCACCAAGACGGCAGGAACCCAGCATTGTTCACAGCGGACTGTGAGGGAACATGCTTTAAAAGAGCTAGTGCACATGACTGAAGCATTCTGCTGGAACACTGGCCATTGTCCTGTTTTAGTTTCTGCTGCAAAATAGCACGACTGGTGTGCTTTCTGTGAGAGAGCAGCAAAGAAACAAAAAACAAAAAACACTTCCTTCCCATGGCCAACGCCTGGCAGAGTAAAAAAGATCTATTTAAAATTCTTACATTTTTTATATAAACTCAAGAGTTTTTTATATAAATATGATTAAAGATACATTTACCATTGCTAGATTTTTCTTACTTTCCAATGCAAAAAAAAAAGCTATATATTTCATTTCTGGGAAATAATAATAATAAAAAGTAGTTTTTTCTTATAAAGAAAATCTTTTTTTTTTGTTAATCTGCTGCTGTTAGAACAGAATGACCTGCGTGGCTCAGATTCAGACCCAAAAAGTTTTGCAACTCCTCCCTTGATGAGAATCAAAAACTTCAACCTTGTTTTTAGATAGAAAAAATAAGATAGAAAAATAAATCACATTTATTATCTAACCTGAAAGATTTTTTTTTTCAGTCAAATAAAGTGCCAAAATATATGCTATATATTTGGCAGAATGACAAGTGCAGGAATTCAACGTTGACCTCCAGTAAAACCACACCGTTGTCACCATCGCCTCAAAATTATTTACTGATCGCATTGACTTTTGCTGCTAAACCCAGGAAAGTGAAAAGTGAAGCCACTGAAGTGAAGCTAACTCTGATCACAGGCTCAGATTCACGCTTCATTTGCCACAGGAACAAATAAGATGAAGCTCTAAATAATGGGATTAAAATTTGATCAACAAGTCAAACAGATGTCGACTCACTGAGGGAGTGGAAAAAATCCAACTCTCAGCAAATAGGATGAAATCTAGTTTTTTCTTCTAATATGGTTGAAAATAGTTAATAAATAAACATTTTACATTTTCACTTGGAGATAAGTGTTGGATTAAAACACAAAGAATAAAAAACCAAAAAGAACAAGTGGACGATGGTGCACCAGGCTGTGCTTTGGTTTCAGCTTTTGACTAATGAATGAAAATGTAAAAAAAAAAAAAGTGTTTGTTGTACATTTAAAGACAACTCTAAGAAGTTCCTTCAACAAATTAAAGCTGATATTCCATCTTTTTGTGTGAAAGACAAAAAAAAAAAAAAAATCTGACTACAAGCGTCACAAACTCAAGTCCTGATGATTTTCCAACCAACATCCGTAAAAGCAGAGCAGAATCGGACTGACCTGTGGAATCCATATCAGGCTCCTCCAGCAGCCCGCAATGCATCCTCTTCCCATCAACAACAACTGGTTCCACTACAAAAATGGCTCAGTGCACGTTTCCCCCTCCACGGCGGCTCTCCACTTGTTTCGCCAGTGTTTCCGTGACCACTGCCCGTCACAGGAGATTTTGAAGATCTAAGGTTCGCCCGGAGATGGGTGGTGTTGGCGGAGGGAGAAAGGGGGAGGTGGGAGTGAGGGAGGTGAGTGTAAAAGGGGCTAGTAGAGACTCCAGAAATCCAGCGGGGGGAAAGCCAGACCCGTCAAAATGTTTGTTGATGTTTCATGGGAAAAGGGCTGATTTTATAGGAGCCCTGATGGGGACATGTCATTGATAGGCTTGGAAGGCTGATGAATGGCCCCAAGTCAGATGGGGATGTGGCAAGGCTCACTGGAAGTCTTTTGTGGGGCTGTTTTGAATAAGAAAAGCTCCCTCCCATTGAAAAAGGAGGCTTAGATCTACACAGTCCTAACACTGTGGCCTCCCCATCGTCCATGATGGTATTTAATTTAAGTTTTATAAACCCTGCAGCTCCGCCGACGCAGCATCCCTTAACCTCAACATCTGATATGTCACTTGTTGACACTTGTTGGTACAGTTTCTCCGATTTTGCTCAGTTAGGGATTTTTAAATTGTATTTTTAACAACTTCTGTCGACGTTTCTCGTGCCCAGGACATGCAACAAAAATCGGTAAAAGTGCGGACGAGTGAGGTTTTCTGCTTTAGTCACTTTTCTGCTCCACTCTTTTGCTGTGGAAACCCTATTTTTTTTTGGTGTGCCTAAGAGAAGAGGGAACGGACACAAAAGGGGGGGAAGTAAAAGTGCAAAGCCCGAGGCTGGGAGGGCTCTGATGGAGTGCCTGAGAGCTGGAGAGGGGAAAGCTGTGATTAGAATATGAATGGAACCACAGGAGAGAGGGAGAGAGGAGAGAGGAGAGGGAAAAGGCGGATTATGGTTGAATTAGTCACCATACCATGGATCGCTGAGGAAGACTCTCTCCACTTACACCAAACGCTGCTACTCACCAACACGGCAGCCACCTGGGAGCACGGCTGGGACAGGGTGGCAGTAACGTGCCATCAGACACTGGGCACATGATTGGTCAAACAGGAATCCCACTGATCTATGAGGGAACTACAGCTGGAAGAAGTAAATGGGATGAGGGGACTACAAAAGTTCTCATTCGAACAAATAAATGACACAGCAGCGACACCAACACGACCCTTTAATCACTCAATATTCGTCGACCTCAACGTTGACTAATGGGACCCAATTAATTTCTGTCAAGTTAGCTGAAGGTGGCGTCCCGAACCTTCTTTCCAGCCCGTTATCTACTTATTAGAGCTTAATAAAGTGGGACAGGTGCAGCAGCTAAAGAGCCGTCTTCCACTCCTGTCCTGTTCTCACACACGTCCGCACGCACAAACGGATGTGTGCCGCTTTTGTCGCATGAAAAGACCCCAGTTGAGTCATGTGTGTACGAGCGAGCGGGGGGTACGCACACAGCCCATATAATGTGCCGGTGGGTATTAGCGCTTTGGTTAAAAGGAGGAAACAGAGCGTCTCAAAGGAACGGCATTCATGTTGTCGTGTATATATTTCTGCACGTCCCCAACAAACACGCAGCATCCGCCTACCAGGACGGGACGAGCTCAGCTTCCTCCTGTTGGCTGCATGTCAAATAAATGAGTCTTTGTACTCGCGCTCAGACAAATCATTGTCCCTGAGGCTTAATTATACTTGGAAGTTCTTTTTTTTTCCCCAATTTTTTCAACGTGTCAAATCACAATGGTAAAAGTATTCGAATGATTTGACCCCATTTATGTCATGTTTCCTCCACTACTTCCTTTGCTTGATAATATACTGTAAAGCAGGGCATTCTGGTTCAGGGGCCACATACAGCCTAATTAGATGTCGAATGGGCCGGACTTATAAATAACAACAAATCTTTTTTGTCTTCCCTTAGTTTACCATGCAAAGAAGTAGAAATATGTTAGAAAATATTAATATTTAATTAAATATTATTTTCCAAAACATGACAAACTTTTAAAATTTATCAGGTCGACCAGATCGAACCCCCTAGTGGGCCGCTTTTGGCCCATGGGCCTTATGTTTGACACTCTCTGCTGTATAGTATAAAGTACCGATTTTGAACATTGCCAATAAAACAGTCGTAAAAAAGTAATCAACGTGTACAAGACAAGAAAGACGGTTTGAAACCATTGTTCTGTGTTTATTACTTACAAAATCAACTGAGTGAGAAATTTGAAACATAAACGAAAACACAACAGAAATAGATCTTTTTTTTTTTTCTTTTTGCTTCAGCCTGTTTTTCTCCTTAACTTATTCACAATTTAACTTTTTTTTTTTCAAAATAATTTTCACCACAGATTTTTACTGTGACCCTCTCACTCACAAACGTCCGGCCTCTGTCCATCTCCCACTCACTCGTTGTAGCGCGACAGTTTGAGTCGGGGGATGATGTTCATGGACTGCAGTTCCTGGAAGAGCAGTTTGCAGGCGTAGGGTATACGGAGGGAGGAGACGTGGCACGACGACTTGCAGTAGTGACACCTGGGTAAAAACGACAAGATGAAAGTCAGGGGCGGATCACTGACGTGAGGTGAAATGGACACAGTCGATGTTTTGAGTCTTTTGAAAAAATGTTATGAGGATTTGGACAGAAATATTCTCTCTATCATTAGACGTGTGGTCAAACCTAAACCCTACGTTGACCATTGACATGACTAGATCATCAGAAACAGTCCTCATATTAATGTCTGCTTTTCCGAACTGCTCGATTCTGAAAAAAGAAAAACTATGATCACATCATTATTGTGGTCATTATTGAAATGATGGTTATTTAGAACAATTACTCATCAACTCTGGAAACACAGCATTTACTGCACAATGTGACCAGCAAATGTGATTTTATGTAATATTTTTATTTTTTATATATTTTTTTGTGATTTTATCAGATTTGTATTAATTGTATTTCCCTTATATACTGTCCTGTTGAACATTCCCTTGAAAAAAACTTAAAGTTTAATTTCATTCAAATATTGAAGATGGTTAAACACAAAATATAAAATACATTAAACATTAACATAAAACACAATATTTATCTCTACATAAATATAATCCAAATCCAAATAATAAATAAAAAAATTAAAGATAGATGCATCTTGATGTATCTTGACTTATAATGGTGAAAAAGACCAAAATGAATTTGCTCACATCTAAGAGCACTGTCACCACATACTGGAAGACCCTGTACATGTGACAACAACCTGACAAACTATAGTTAATAACAAACATGAAGTCTGGTCCATTATTACTGTATAGTCCAGGGTAAACAGTAGACACAGACACAGTAAATACTGGTAGTACTGGTACTACTACCTGTTGTTCTATAGAATACGTCACTGGATGTCGACGTGGTCCGGCTGCTTCACATTTTCTGTCTGTGTATCAGTTGGTCTTTAGTAATCTCTGTGTTTGAACTTCAGGAGATTAAAGAGATTTGTCTTTCCCCCCACAACGCAAACGTCACACCAGCGAAGTTTTTTTTTTTTTTTTTACTGACTAAACGCTGCTGCTCCTCTCCGTCTGTTAACTCCTCCTCCTACCACCGACTTTTTAAAATACCTTGACCAGGGTGAAACCTACGTGTGCATATCATTCAGGGTCAAAGGTCATTTTGTACCAGCAGAGCGCATTTGTCAAAATTATTTTCACTGACTGAACCTATTTATTGTTTCTATCAAAATCAGAATCGAAATTCAATTGCACAGTCATAGGAGCTACATCCATTTAATAGATTACTTAAAAAATAGCGTTTAAATCTAAAAAAAATACATTATATCATAATTCAAATTTCCCTGGAAAATATCAAGTCTTCAGGACTCTGCTCTCTGCTTCCGAGGCAGGCGTGCTAACCGCTACCCTGTGGAACCACCACTTTATCTCACCTTTACACAACATGAAGAGTGTCTGTCAAAGTAGCTTAACGTAAGGGAGTGGTTTCAAACTGAAACATTCACCATCAAGCAGCATCAAAACGACCAATCACTACAACCACTAAACCATTGTTGGCACTTGTTGTTCTTTTATTTAACAGTTTCTACTGTGAATAAAAAGGAGGTGATCCCCATCACTCACCATCCAGAGTATCCCAGCAGGCCACACTGTCCACACACGTCCACCTCGAAGGCGTCGCTGGAGATCATGAGTCGCTCCAGCAGCAGCATACTGGCTCCGTAGCCAATCAAACAGTCCCGTTCCATCTCACCCAGACGCAGACCTCCGTCTCTGGAGCGACCCTCCGTTGGCTGCCTGTTGGCAGTGAAGCATTCAGTGTGAAAACACACAGCAGACGATTGTTCCTTCAGCTGTTTCAGTTAGTATTACTGCAGTTTCAAATCCTTAGTAATGTAGTCATTCCTTAGCTGTAGATTTTACCTGGTGAGAACGGCTCTGGGCCCTCGGGCTCTGGCGTGCATTTTGTCGAGGACCATGTGCTTCAGTTTTTGATAATAAACCGGTCCAAAGTAAATGTAGGCCTCCAGTGGTTCTCTAAAGGAAACACAGCTGTCTGTATTCACTGGGAAAACCTTCGAGTCACAACACAACAATATGGAGTCTGAACATGTGCCCTTACCATCACCTGAAACTTTAGATACAATTATGTTGATGTAACTGTTAAGGTCTGGTACGCAGAGATCGGTTCGCTTTGATGTCCAGTAAAATGGTCACTATTTTCATTAAGATTAATCGGAGATACTTTCAAGTTAAACATCTGTGCAGGTTCTCAGCCATCCAGGCCATCTGATCCAAAAAGATAAGATCCAAAAAGAGATACAGGATGGAGTAGGTTTCTTGAAGACGTTTCACCTCTCAGCCAAGAAGCTTCTCGTCTTCAAGGAGCCTACTCTGTCCAGTTGCTCTTGGTCCAACTCTTTTTGGACATCATGGAATAGATGTTAAAACACCAGGAAACACACAGTAATTCTGTGTTTTTACTGATCAACTGACTTTGATGGTTTACCGCAGATTATTTCCAAACTGATACCTGTAGCACTCACAGTAAAATAAGGTCAAATCTGACTTTCTTTTATTTACGCGTCCATCATTGTCGGTATGATCAGGATGCTAACTGCTAACATTCTGCAGGTGGATTGTGGTCAGTGTTTCTGACTTTCCCTTTAATGATGCACCAGACGTTACTGACAGGAGACAGATGTGGACGGCAGAGAGACCAGTTAAACACACACATATACCATATACGTTTCATTACCCTGTGATTCCAGAGGTGACGTAGTCTTTGCCTTGGTAGTTGTATCCGTATCGGATGAGGTCCTCGCAAACGTCCTTCACCTTACTGCCCCCGAAGGCCGTACCGTAGTGAAATCGCCCGTCCAGGACCCCAGCCTTCCCTGCCAGCAGTTCTATCAGCTTCCCCACCTGATGGCATCAGTCACAGGGAATTAAAGGGAACAATAATATTAATTTAAAGGAAACCAGAGCTTTCTGTTTGTCTCAACCATGTTTTTCAATGTAACGTTTGGCTTTTTGTCCAACCCATGTTCACCAGGGGATCCCCAACCCCCGGTCCACGGACCAGTCCCAGTCCATTTGGTAAACTTTTAATTACTTAGGTTAAGAAACTCTGCATGGAGTTTACTAAATTTTTAAAAAAAATATTTTTAAGCTCCTGCAGTCCACACACAGTGGCTTGGCGGACCGCATTTGGCCCCCGGGCCTTGAGTTTGACACGTATGTCCCAGTGCGTACATGTAGTAACATGTAGTATCTGGAAAAGCTTTAATGCAGTGTTCTGGAATTCAAATGAGGTCGCCTGAAATGTCTAGTAATTAATAAAAGAATTTAAAAAACAACTAAACATTTTTTATTTACGTAAAAATGATTCACTTCTTTACTACATATACTTGTATGGATCATTGAGTCCAGAATATTTAAGGTCTTGAGTTGAGTGACTAAATCTGAGTTATTGGTATACTGTATGTTTTAAATGTTCATTATTACTACATACCCACATCCACCTAGAGTGGTAGGAATAGTACTGTGGTATTAGACCTAGTCTTGTGGGTAGTATTGTAGTACAATACGTTTCTGTATGGATCATTGAGTCAGGCTCTGATTTTTTTTTTTAAGTAGGACTCCAGTGGTCGTTTGACAATCATTAACATTATCTTCTCTAACTAAATATTTATAGCAGTGGTTCAGATTATCTGAAGACACATGTATGGCTCAGGGTGAGCTCAGCAGTCTAAGGATGACAGATTTCAACAATTCCACCGAGGTCACACCCAGGGGACCCCTGACCCTGACACATAAAAGGAAACACCTACTCTCATTTCACTCTCAGGCCACAGAAGCATCCTCCCGAGCCAAACATTTCTGAGTCCCTCCCATGACAACCGCTGCACGCAAACACACTGGCACTGAAGCCTCTAGCAGTAAAGATCATTCATGTTTTTACAGTTTCTGGGACAAACAGCGGGCAGATTCGGAGGCCAAGATCTCGAGACGTTTTCTATAAGTAATCACCAACATTTTTTTTTTTAAACTTCCACAGAAGCAGCAGGAGTGTGTGGACGTTCCCGTGGCAACAAATATGTTTGTAAAAAGTAGGACTTCGGTCAATGGACGTGTGCTGTAGTCAATGATAACACACAGAGAGGAGAGAAAAGACGGGGGATAATGAGTGTTTTGTCTCACTACAGCCAGGGCTGACTTGAGAAAAGCAGTGGTCAACTCAAACACAGGAGGACATATAAATACTTATGTGACTTTTTTTATAAATTTACAATTAGTATATTAGCAAAAGTTAGCTAAATGGTTTATAAATAAGCCACTGAAATAATAACGGGACTGAACGGCGGTCAGTGTTTTTTTTTTTTTTTCCCCTACATGCCCAAAATCGTACCGTCATTCTGGAGGGATATCCATGAGGGTTCATGATGATATCAGGACAGATCCCCGAGTCACAGAACGGCATGTCCTCCTGAGGGACGATAAGACCACAAACACCTGGAAAACAAACAAACACCCGTGTTATTTTTGAAGCTTTGACTTAAGTTTTACATTTGTGCTTAATTACTGTCACATATTCTGATCAGCTGTTTTACTAACACTTGACCAATGTTGGAAAAACAAAAAGTTTTTTTTTTTAACTTGTTCCCTTAAACCTACTGACTGAAGTGACCACCCAGTTCTGCAGCAAACTGCTCGCCAGGCCGCTGTTGTGGTGCATATCGCCGGTGAAAGCTGGATGTGAACCTCAGGCAGAGCATGACATTTCCATACACATGTGTAAAGACTGGCTCCTCTGTTGATTAACATGACAAGCAGCCTGGAGTTTAAGTGTGAGTGCAAATGTTTGCCGAGGGGCCGAAACACTCTTCCCAGGCCAGGGTAAACACATTGTAGACCCATTTGCAAATGAAAAAAAAAGAGAAAGAGGCAAGAAGAGAAGGAGCGCAGAAGTGAAGAAAAGTTTTTAAAAAAAGTGACGGAAAAAACCCAGGATTAAACGTCCATGACGTTTAGTTCCCCCCGCAGGAAGTGCCCAGGATCAGCTGGAAAGGGTGAAATTGAACCCAAGCACGTGGGAAAAATACACTATTAGGGTGACTTGTCAGCAAAACACTGCCCGGCGGACTGCTGATGATGCTGCAGGACGCTGCAGCAGGATGTGGACTGGTAACAAGTGCAACCATTAGGCACAAAGTCATCCAACAGCAGGAAGAAAGCGAAACAAGTGGAGAAAAGCTGGAACAAAAGAGTCGGGAGAGAATAGGGTGAGGGGGAAATGCTGAAAGAAAAAAAAAAGTTTTTAACATAAGGCGAGTAAAGTGAGAGTAGAAGGAAAGAAGAGAGGAAGGAGGAAATAAGGTGGAAAATTAATGTTTGTATGAGAAAGAGAGTGGTAGTGTGAGACAGAGAAAGAGAGAGAGAGAGGGAGGGAGAGAGAGAGTTTTCATGGCAGACATCCCTGGTGTTGTTTGTTTTGTGTGAAAGTGAATGATAAAAGAGGCATGAAATCAGCAGAGAAAGGCAAGACAACAGCGGAGGTTCAGAGCCCTTCATCACAGCTCAACGCTGGAGGCTCACACAGTGGCTCTACTACTGACAACCACTCCACCTCCTCCCCCTCCTCCACAGCTGTGTGTGTGTGTGTGTGTGAGAGAGAGAGAAGGAGCAGTAAATAATTAACTTATTCTGCTCTGCTGACCAGGCTGATGAGAACAGTCACCAGTGAGTTGGAGACCAGTATCTGGAGCCAAATTAACTGCTAATTGAATAATAACAACTGATTGTTGGCAAAATGCAGTTTCTTTCTTCTTTTTTTTAAGTCGCCGAAGGAAATGTGGAAATAAAATTAAAATTAAAAAAACCCACGCATCAGTGGCACATCTGGGACTCTCTTCCAGCTTACCCACCAATGACCCCTCTCCTTTTATTATTAACTGAGACAGAAGACATTGTCCCATCCTCAGTTGACCTCCCAGTGGCCAAAGTGTAACTGAAGAGAGTAAATTATGCATGGCGCCAGTTAGTTGGGTTTTTTTTTTTATTAAAACATCATACCGACCCTCTATAGGGGAGGTGCTGCAAAACAATGGAGGTTGTAAACACTTTTTTTTCCTCCCAGCAGCAGCAGAACACTGCTGTGGTGTAATACATTTGCATAGTCTGGCACAGGACAAAGAGCCAATTAATTGAAAAGAGAGAGCTCTCGAGAGGTGAGGACAAGGGGGTAGTGACGGAGCAACAGCCACTGGGACTTGACTCAACAAAAGGTCCGACTCAATGACGATCAGATTTTTGTTTTTGTCCAGTCATTTACTGTCAAACTTCAGAGTCCTGTTCTCTCAGGAAATGTGGACAAAAACAGGACTTGTTAGTTTGGTCCCAGTAAATGAACCATGAGTTGGGCACCTTTTTGTCCATGACGACTGCTGAATTTGTCTCCTATCTCCGGCCGCCTGGTCTGCCTCAGGAGGATCTTAATTAGGAAAGCGTCTTCAGCATTGGACGAGATCATGACCTTTTCGATGTACGAGTCTGTCGAGCCTTTATAGCTACACAGAAGAAAAAAAAATCATATTCACATTGTTGTTTGTGATTTGTTATATTTTTAGAGGGCAGAGTGGGCAACAGTTGTGTGACGGTGAAGAGACACCAACTCAGTGTCAGTGTGATGATGGTGGAGTGCTCACCTGATGGGCACGTCTCTGTACTGTGGCTGTCCTGGCTGGGTACTGCCCTCCAGTGGTGTCTGAGTGACAGTTGGCATGGACTTGTTTATCAGCACCTGTTTGTTCTCCACTCTCTCTCCTGGGTCAAACACAGGACGGGTCACAGTTTTAAAGTAACACGACGGTAAGCAGTAAGTAAATCTGAGTCTGTTTCATTATCTGGTTGACTGTGTAACATAAGGAGGGGGTTAATAACTGGATTTGAATTAAAAAAAAATCACTAAAGTAGAAACACACTCCTTTGTTTTTAGTTGCCCCAGGCCATGGGGATGCAACCTGTGGCTCCAGAGCCACATGCAGTTCTCTGGCCTTTTTGCAATAGCTCTATGCAAAGACCAAATGTAGCCTGACTGTCATACACAAGGAAGAGAAATATAGAAAAAGGGTCTGTGCAATGATTTTCTTTTTAAATCCTATTTTACACATAAAGACAGCTTTTTTGCTAAAACAAAAAACAGCATAATGACATTGTTGTCTTGTCTTCATTGTGCAATTTCAGGTGAAACAAGCTAAATAGACTCTAACTCACTGCAGTTCACAGTTAACAATCAATCAAATAAACACAGAATGTTATTTATTTTTACTGTGCAACCAGGTAAAAAATTGTGAAAAAAAATGGGTAATTGGTGATCTCTGCTTTCATTGACATCACTCTGGCCTCAAGCTCCTCTGTAAGACCTGAGCAGGATGTGTTATTTTAAGCTCATTTGAAGCATTATAAACTAGAGACATCCATATGTATAAGATGCTTAAAAAATTAGTCTATATGAAGCACTTTATAATCAGGTCCTATCATATGCACAGCAGCGGCCAGCGTGGATCCAGGATCCAGGCAGACACTCTCACTACGTCTAAAGACGGACGTCCCTGAGACCTTTGAAAAGTATATGGTCATAGTTGAACCTGAGCTCCTCCTTATTATGCTGCTGTCAGCCCACACTGCAGGGGAGCTCCCTGTTCACTGCACACACTCCCTCTGTATTTCTTTATTTATATATTCAAATGCAATGAGGTATTTTCCCAGAATGCCCTGTTTCATTCATACACTGTTATTACTAATATTGTTGACATACAACTCTTTAACAGCACCTGATAACATGTTTATTTTTTATCTGAGTTGCTGCCACCTAGTGACTGGAGGCTTGTTATCATCCAGGCATTACAGCAGTGGTACACTTATGTCCATATGCATGCCATATTCCATTTGAAACCCATGGCACCTCACCGCGCCCCCCCAGGGGGCCCCAGCCCACTATTGGAGAAGTACTGATCTACAGTAATGTTTGATTCAAATGGACCAGCTGTGGTTAATAACATAATGAGCGTTTTTTTTTTTTTACATAAAGTACTCACCGGGGGAGCAGATCCCATCAGCATCCAGGATGTTGTGTCTCCAAACAGGCTTTCGTGTTGTAGCGTCAAGCATTGGTCCCATCACCTTGTCAAAGGTCTGGTTGGTGTAACGTCGCAGAACACATTTGGTATTTTTATAAACCAGACATCGACCAAAACCTAGAAATATATAATCATGTCAGTCTGCCTGATATGGCTGAAGGATGAGAGAATCAAGTCCTGCAGGTTCTCACCTCTGTCCAGTGAGGCTTTGTTGAGGACCAGAGCGTCCTCAATGTCATAGCCGCTGTAACTCATGACGGCCACAGTGGCATTCTGGCCTGCAGGGAGTTTCTCAAAGTCAATAAGTTCAATAGTTTTTGTTTTGACCATTGGCCTCTGAGGGTACGCCAGCAGGTACATCAGAGTGTCGATACGGTTCCTCTGGTTGTAGCCGATGGTCCCTGAAAAGAAGAGATTGGATTTGAAAAGCTGACTTGAAAATGTCAGATTTATACACAAAATCCCACCAAGCACCTGTTACGTGTCTCACATCAGATGGACTAGTTCTAACAGCCCTGGAGATGGGATGTTCTGGGAGTCTGGTTATTACTGTTACAGGTTAACGCAGTGGACCAACAGGAAGAGTTATGGTCTAAAGCCCGGCCTCAGTGAGGCCTTGACATTTGTCAGATGCTATTACTTCACAATCAGGCTACAAGCACAGAGTCTGTGATAATAGGCCTGGGCCAAACAACCAGATTTGCACATGTATAGGCCTGTTCACACAAAACGGACAAGGCAGAGGATATTGTGCCAAATATAGTTCCAGTCAGTGTTTTTGTATAGACGGGGAGGAAGGGGGAGGAAGAGGAGGACATAGGTAACGCAGTGGGCTGGGGGTGGCTGAGGTTCTTACAAATGTTAGCAGCGCAATTTGGGGAAGTTCTGGTTACCAAGGAGATGTGGGTGCGCACTTTGTGGTCTTTTGCAGCTGAGCACACTAACCCTCCGAGCACAGCCACAGCAGACACAATGAATTGCTAATGACACTCTTGGTGACTGGCAGGGAAAGGGCCTCTGCACACACACACGCACAATGGAAGACCTACGAAAGCGCCCCATGTTTGATGTTCAAACTTGCACACACAGACAAACACACACATTAAAAACTCTCAATCACACATACAAACGTATTCTGACAAGACGTAAAGCAGGAGCAGAGGTGTGAGAGAGAAGACCGGCAGGTTCTTCTGTATCTGTGTTGTGTTTCTTATTCTAACTTTCTTTTGTATTTACAGAAAAACTCTAGACTGTGAAAAGACTAGATTCAGAGATTACATCACTGTAAGTGTGTGTGCAGCAAGCCAATCACTACATCTCTACAAGATGACTGGCGGTCTTCAGTGACGTACTGACTGGACATATCTGCTCTGCACCGTCTTACCCATGGCTTGCTTGCCCATAGCACACTGGTATGTGTTTCTGGGTGACTGGTTGTGGTGGGGGTAGGGTATGAGGCCAGCACACACTCCAAGCAACGTGAAGGGCTCAATCTCCAAGTGGGTCGTGTCTCTGTACAGGTCCAAGAAAATTAAGAAAATGACAGCATCATGTTATTAGATTATGTTTGTCTTTATTTTATGCCAAATCAGGGTTCACTCACTTGGTAATCATATATTCATAAAGAGCAATTTGACAGTCATTCTCCTCATTGACATCCAGGTACTCCACCAGGCCTTCATGCAGGAAATCCTCAAAGGTTCTAATATAACAAACATGTTTTATGAACAGGGAAAAATATGTGTTTGTCCACAATTGTTTTGACCCCTTCAGAAGCCCACCACTCTCACCTGTATCCCTGTGACAGATCTTCAATATGTTTGTTTTTCACCATCGGCTGCCCCTTCTTTACTATAACGTACGGCCTGCAGGCAAAACAAAACGTTTTACATTTCATTCTGGGAAAAAGAACGTTTATCAATTACACAAAACTACTGGTGTACCTGCAGAGACGTCCTCCATCAGAGGAGATGTAGACACAGCGGTCAGTCAGGTTGGTGGAGATGGACACAAACTCGTTGATGAATCCCGCCCGACGCATCAGTCTGAAGGTGCTGACCAGTTTGTAATGATCTCTGATTACGCCCAGAATGTTTCCTGTGGATGCACAGAAAACAGAGTCTGTGAACATCTGCGGAAATATTTTTAGCATTATCAAACATTTTTTGATATAAATGTCTTTGCTTTATAAATTTGCTTTAAAAAAAACGACATCCCAGTATCCTTTAGCTAAAAGAAAGTGGGCGAAAAACAACTGATGTGTACAGTCATGGAGTACGCTAAGCCGTCACGATGGGTGACAACACTGCTGAGGCTGCCTGCAGGAGTTGGTTCATATCACATCTGACAGACAAATGACTAGAGAACAGAGGAGACACTGTGCTGGGTCTCTGTGTGAGGGCACATTTGCACTGAACACACTCTGAAGGGCTTTGACACCTGCTGCTACCAACTAATTAAATGGAACGGCGGCTAATATAATTTGACTGTTATCAGTGGGGAAACAAACATTTACAGTAATTAAGGGGCCAAGTTCTGAACCCGGGAATAAAACCCACCGCCGCCGTGGAATTAAATAACTTATCAGTGTCTTTACAAATTCAAAATAACCGTCGGTAAACTAAACAGAGTATATTTCCCCCCTTTGTGTTCAGAGGCAGGTTTTAAAAAAATAACTAGAATTAGACTTTCTTTTCATGTGATCTAAAGAAAACACATTCTCAGTTAAATTTCTCTGCGTTTACTTGTTTATTAGGCTCTAGTGCTGGTGTGGAGGAGTCTTACCGTTGAGGAAGACCAGGAAGACACTCGGGTAGAAGAGCTCTTCGCCGCACAGCAAGTTGACGTCTTCTACACCGAGGTTAAAGGCCAGTTTGATGATGGGGCCATCCTCCATGTCGGTGGTGATGTGTGTCATCAGAGCCAAGTTCTTCACCAGACCACAGGCCTATACCAACAGGAACAACACAGTTCTGTAGTTCTGTTTCTATGGTGCAACGTCACTTGTGATTTTCATCATAGATCAGACCACACATACTGTATATCAGTATCTGTGTCACTCACCCACACCTAACATCATGATCTAGGACAAAAAAACATCAGAAGAGTCTGACTTACACCTGGGAGCCATAATGAAGGGCAAAAGGTTCCCAAAAAAACAACAAACAAGAAAGCAAATTTAACACAATCCAATGTGTGGTGTACAACCGGAGAATTTAAAGGTCGTTTCCTGCATATAGCTCCATGTGTTAACTTTTGCGTCCACACAGATAGCCAGTTAGTTCCAGTGTGAACTACTTGGTGAGTTTTAGCGCCGTACGCTGAAATGATGGAACAAGACTTTCCTAATAAATTTATAGCAGATGGTGACATATCCACAATATGCCGCAGGTCGTAAGGTCGGACGTAAACCAAGGACCACCTGGATGTAAAGGTGCCTTGACTCAAAAAACTAAAACAGATGTGAATACAGCATCCATGCAACTGTCCTTCTAACAAACCTGCCAACTTCAGCTTCAAGACACTAGAGTTAGAATTATTGAAGGAGACCGCTTCTGTCAGGTGCATCTCCCACTCACCTCCCCCTCCGGAGTGTCAGATGGACACAACATGCCCCACTGAGAGGGCTGCAGGGACCGCGGTCCACTGACTTTCCTGGTTTTCTCAAACTGGGAGGAGATTCTGGTCATCATGCCTAAAGCAGAGATGAAGGACAGACGAGACAGGACCTGGGTGACACCTTGGCGGTCCATCTTAAATCTCTTCAAAGACCAGTTGCCCTGTTAAAGGAAGAAAACAAAATACTTTTTTTTTTAAATTCAGCATAAGTATATGAACATTTATAAAAGAAAAACAATCATTAGCTACATTCTCAGGAAATGTCAAATTAACCTATGTCCCATTGGAGCAGGGGTCAAGGTACCACCTTTGACCCTTTGGGGGCAAATGAAGTAAAAATCACATTTTTGTCTAAAAGAAAGTAAATTTAGTCATAAATGGTGATAGTTATTTGAGTATTTATTCCCAGTTACTTTAATAATGGAAATCTAGTTGCAGGCCTGACTGGACAGCAGTTATTATCACTGCACCACAGTGACAGTCACATCTGTCAAAAATGTGTTGTGAAGAAGGAAAAATATATATATATAGGCCACACCACTTATTTGAGTCTCGTTCATTTTTGAAACATTTCTTTCATAAGAATCTGAGAACGAAAAGTTTAATCTGAGATGGCTGTTCATTTACAGTCGGCTAAACATATTGACGTAACAGCCTGAAGAGTTCAACAAGTTCCTTTTTGCATCACTGAGTCCATTCACCCCCACAGTCACTTCTAAACAATTCTGCCAACTCAGGAGGAAGATGAGGCTCCTTCTCCTCTTCTGCTGGGCTGTAGTCAGACTCACCACAATCATCAGTTCATCATCTGTAGACCATGCCCTCTTGTGGCCATTGTTGACATGAGATATACTTGTGATATACAAGATCATTTGGGATATAAGCAGCAGCAGCAAAACTACGAAAACTACAAGAAAATATGATAAATCTCTATATAAAATATCTAATCTTCATCTTTTTGGACTGTGAGAGAAAACCAAAACACAGAAGAAACCCTCACACACACACACACACACACACAGGGAGAACATGTTCCATACGGTACTGCTGTTTATACAGAAAGACTATAGTCAATAGTTCTGATTCAACTGATTTCACTAATTTGAAAGTTTTGCCTCTATAAAAAATGATTAACCTGTGTTGAAAAACGTTTATTGAAAGGTTAAACATTCCTAATGTTTTATTGGTGAAAACTTTTAACAAGTTTTAATCTGACAAGCGGGTGTAAAAGAACACTTACGTAGAGTTTTTTGTGTCACATTAACAACGTAGCAAAGTCAACATTGTCTGACGCTAAAAACCCCACACTCACTGTGGAAATGGCATTGACCATGCCATTGGTGATTTGATCCTGCCGCATGTGCTTGACCACGTCAAACTGAGCTGCCCTCTGCTTGGGAATGATCTGGTCAGCGATTTTCTTTAGCTCTGAGTTGAACTTCTTGAACAGATCTTCAAACAGCAGCGACAGCAGCTGGAAGACGAAGAAGAGAATTAGCGTAACCTTTTTTTTTTTTTGATAAAACCCACTTGTCAGTTCTCCAGCCCAAACAAGGGAGCAGCCACAACAATTACTTGGGAGTTTAAATTGTCATTGTGTCTTCACGCAGTGTGACTGTCACACGCAATCAGCTCCAACGTGCGTTTACAGTCAGATTTAATAAGCAGGTGTGCCGGCTCACTGATAAGCCTGATCTGGCCTCTGTCCCAGGTCCCCGTCCTCCTCCGCCAGGGCTACAGGAAGCGAACTCTTCCTCAGCCCCCACCTGGCCTTCTGCGTTAGCAAACATCAAAACAAACAGGCGGCGCTGCTCAAAATTAATAAAGAAATTAAGCTTCCACTGTGCAGCCTGGCCAATTAGTTGAATGTCAGGGAACCATAATTGGAGAGTGAGGAGATTGCGTGCGTTGTTAGTGTGTAAGCCCCCTATTGAAAGGAGCTTCTGTGCGCCCCCTCCCTCCATTTCTCGCTCCTTAGACGGAGCAGGTTGGGTGGGGGGGAAATTAAAGGCCTTAAGACAGCAGTAATTACATTATCAGAGCCGGGCCTGCGGATTAGCTCAATCACTGCAGTCAAGGCAGCAATTCTATTGTCACGCTCCTGAAAAATCCCCATGCTCCCACAGCCTCCGGATTTCGGTGCCATTGCATATCTCTTTCCTGACAAAGCCAGGCTGAAATACAGAGGGAGGGAGCGAGGGAGGAGGGGGGGGCGGAGGGGCAACGACAAAACAGGGGAAAACAAAGCAGACGGAATATAATGAGGGTCTTATTAAAAGAAGGAGGCAGGAATAAAGACACAGGTGAGAGATCAGGGC